CTATTTCTGGTTTGTGTCTTCATTGGAGACTCCATCATTTCTTGGAAATCCAAGAAACAGAATACTGTGTCAAGGTCATCCATTGAGGCTGAGTACAGGTCCATGGCTCTTACTACTTGTGAATTATTGTGGTTACTGTCTTTATTGAAAGATTTTAAGATTTTACACTCTGGTCCTGCACATATTTTTTGTGATAATCAATCTGCCCTTAACATTGCTACGAATCCGGTGTTTCATGAACGGACAAAGCATATAGAGATAGACTGCCATCTTGTGCGTGAACACATCCTCAAAGGTCATTTGAAGACATTCCCTGTTCCTTCTTCCAAGTAGCTTGCAGACATCCTTACCAAGCCTCTCCTTCCTTCAAAGTTTGTTGTTTTGGCTTCCAAGATGGGACTGTTGAACATCCACTCTCCATCTTGAGGGGGCCTATTAGTATACATTTTCTATTTCAGTTTTATGCATTTCTGGTGTAACTAATTTCTGTTTGTATAGTGTATTAGTGGGCCAGCACATGTGCTATTTTACTATTCTGTTATGAGTGTGGTGTATATAACCACTTGTACCTTTCCTTCATTTTCTTTCAAGCTTAATGGAATATTCAATGTTCAATCCTTATCTTCCTTTTTCTCTGAGTAATAACAAACTAATAGACTCATGCAAAGGGTTCGTGAGGTAACCAATATTACTTACTTGCAAGTTGAATCTATCAATGCCAAAATTAGGAGACACCCAAAATTTTCAAGAAAGCACACACTTCTTGGACTAGATAATCCCACTAATTATGCAAAAGTATATATATTATTGCTACAATTCTTTCTCTTGCATGTTGAAAAAAACACCCTACCTTCATTGTTGCATAGTCTTGTACATGATTACAATTATGAGCTATATTGGAATGTTAAGAGTGACCACTGCAAAAGATGAAGGGTTCATATAAATAAGAAAAAGTTTAGTGTGGTGCCTGAACAACAATGCCTTTGAGATGATGAGAAGCAGCTAAAGAGAATATTACGAACTGAAACTCTCTATTTTAACTTGGTCCATAAAAGCATAAATAATACAGACACTAAATTATTTGCTCCAAAAAAAATAAATACGGACACTAAATTATCGTCTACGTATATCTTTGTCCAGAAATTCTATATCTGAGCTTAGTGCAATATAATGGAGTATTTTACAGGGAGTTGACCGAGCCAGTTAATCCTGGTGGACAATTCTTGGACTGCACCTCTCTGTGTTTGTATGAAAATGGATTCTCTCGTGTGAAAAAAAAATGACATGATTAAGTGAGAAAAGATCACAATCATACAAAGCCGAATTAACAGTTATGATTTTATAATTATTTATTTAATATTTTTTCCTCTCTTTTTTTATTATCATTGATACACTTTTATATATTATGATTTTTCACATTATCATGTCATGTTTTTTTCACCCAAGAGAATCTACATCCACTTCCGTGCTTGTATACCAGCGTATGGATGGCAAAAACGAGCCAACCCGTCCTAAATGAGCTGCCAACCCGACCCAATACAACCCAGACCCAAACGAGCCAGCCCGCGGGTCAAACGGGCCAGCTCGCGGGTTGGGTATTTTTTTTTAATTCAAAAAATTAATAATATGACTGTATTAAAAAAAAGAAATATGAAAACTCCAAAACTGCCATATGCTCACATCGTCGTCACTCGTCACTTTCCTTAACCCTAAGATTCTTCTGCCCCCTTGGATAACTTGTTCACCCTGTTACCATTAACCTTGCATCTTCGGGTCTATTGGCCTATTCTCTTGACAAACGCAATCCACTACTCCCAAGGTGCAATACCCTTTTCTCTATATTTCTCATCTTTCTTTTTTATTTTTCCCCAATATATATATGAAAATGGATTCATTGTTCTTCTTTTATGTTGTTGACATTATAAGATTTGTTACTTCAATCTTTTTTCTTTTACCAATCTTGGTACCTTTGAAGAGATCAAAGTTGGAACCTTTTGGCAGTGTTGATAATTTTAGCAGTGTTGGAGAACAAATAAGACTAGTTCCACAAAAATCAATTTTTTTGAGCCAACTCGCAAGCCAATATTTCGAGCTAACCAACCCGCGAGCCAACCCACTAGCATCATTTCGAGCTAACCCGCGAGCTTTTTTTGAGCCAACCCGCGAGCTGATTATCGAGCCAACCCGCGAGCCAACCCTAACCCAACTCGGGTCGGGCTGGGTTGGGTTTTCTGGCTCGTTTATTTTTTCGGGTCAACCCTAACCCGACCCGTTTTTTACGGGTTGAGCCAGGTCGAGCCGAGTTGGCCCGTTTTGCCAACCCTATACCAACGTAGTGTTTCTGGACTTTAGGGCACATGTGGGCTAATGGCCTAACTGAAGGGAAAAAAAACTTAATATGCAAAAAGACCCGATCCGTAAAGAATCAATTGAACTCAAGATGATGCATTTTATATTAATCAGTTTATATTATATTTTTTAATAGGTTTTTTATACAAAAAAAATTATTGGACTTAAAAAGTGCACAATGTACAAGTTCACTTAGATATGCCAAAAAATGTAATAATATTTAATTATATATTAAATAAAAAAAGATAATAAGAATCAAATTCATGATTATTTAATCATAGAACTCTAATATTGTGTAAAAAATTAATTCAAGTTAAAAAAAAAAACTTAAACTTTTTTAGTGTGCATCGCATTAATAGCTTTATGTTATAAACAAGAACTAAAAACTTCCTTTGTGTCCCTTATATAAACTTTAAAGGTGTTACTATTAACGTAAACCCCACAATAGAGATGATAACCACTCACATGATTGAAAGTTGAGTTAGCCAATAAAGGTGGGCAGAGGTTCATATTTTATATGGGAGTGAGTTCAAATTCTACCGGTGGATATAAGAACTTTATTTATAGGGCTTGCAATTTCTCACATTCTATGAGAAATGCAAGTTTTTTCTACAGAAAGAGAAATGGATGTGACCTACTTTAAAAGGAAAAAATAAAAATAAAAAAGTGATTGACACAGACATCGAAGTGAGAGTGGTAGGAGAGAAGACTTCTCATGTTGCATGAGAAGTCTTTTTCCCTTGTTTATATGTGATATATAATTTTTGAAAAAAAATGTTTATTCTTTTAAATGGCATAATTTATATTATTTCACTTTCATAAAGAGGTAAGACTTATACACCTTTATTTTTTTTTTGTCAACTCTCTCTCCACCTTTTTTTTTTTTGTCAACTTTCTCTCCACTTTTATTTAACTTTTTCTCTCTCTTAAAATGATACAACTTTACCTCCTTTAAAATAATATACATTTTACCCATAATTTTTTATGAAAATTTTCAAAGAGATCGGAGGTTTTTCTTGAAATTAATAGAATATCGATGTCTAACCTAAAAAAAACGGTGTTTCTCTTTGAGAAAATTACTTAAGAATGGAAAAATGTGAAATGAGAAGATTCTTAGTGACTGATGTGCCCTCAACAATTGATCCTATCAACGAATTTGACTCTTTTTATGTGCTTTAGATTTTTCACTGCACTTTTATAATCATATAGGAACTTCATCAGATTGGGCCAACCTATCAACTAAACAATTTGTAACTGTATAGCTAAGAGATGCTTCTTAAATTTGCTAGATATTGTAGATGAAGAATCCTGCGACTAGGGAAAAGATCACATTTTACTCTTTCAATTTCTGCAACTCCAAAATCTTCACTTATAACTTCTTCCAATGAAACACAACAGCATATGGTAAGGAGTGGGTTCCACAAAAAAAAGAGTCAATCAAAAAATCATACTGTGTAATGTGTATTATTGATAGTATATAGTGTGCTGCAAATAAAAAAAGAGGCAGAAATGTTTTTCCCATAAATGTATAAGCCAAGAGAGCTAATAATGTATCCAACCACAAACTTATGATTCCTCCTTCTCAATTATTCACAACCTGAAATGCTCATGTTTTCAAATGCTCCATTGTTCTCTGTGATGGGTACGATTTATTTTTACTCATGGATATAATAAATGTTTCACACTGCTTTATAAGTTAAAAGAGATTTGTTTACCCAAAAAAAAGAAAGATAGATACTTGTTCCCCTATATTATAATACATTATTATTGTCATGTAAGACAATCTTAGCCGTGTATAATCAAATTAATGGTGAAGAGGTCGAAAGAGTGTGAGAAAATAATAACACTTAATTAATATGTGGATTGTTGAAATTGTTTCATATCATATAATAGTTATTTGAGATTTGAAAAGATTCATTTCCATCAAAATAATTTTTTTATATGTAGTTTGTTTTAAAATTTCATTAATTGGCTATGTTGTTGTGAATTTTCCAGAAACTTAGCCCATGCAAAGAGGCAACAAATTCACTAACCATAATCAAATTACTAACTCAAAGCTTGTATATAAATATAGGGATTAGTGTTTCCCCTTCAAAGAATATAACATTGTATTATTCGAAGTGACAAAGAGAGAGATAAATAATGGAAATCACAAAGAGAGAGAGTGAGAGGTATTTTTTTTAATTTGAATTTTAAATAAAAAATATTACTATTAACTAAAAGAATTATCCTTTAAAAAACCAAAATATTTTTCATATAAATATATAATTCGCAAAGGTCCTCGCATGTCCTATCCTACAACCTGTTTTTAATTATATATTTCAGAAATCACATAATATAATATTAAAAAAAAAATTCTATTTCATATCAATAAAAAAAACAATAACTTTAATGAGTTTAAAGTTCTTAAAATTATTTTAAATAACTTTATCTAATATTTAACAAAATATATATAAAAAAAATATATGAGATTCATATTTATTTATTTTTTTTCCTTCTATCTTCACATGGTTTGATATAAACTCACTATATTGATCAACATCGTATAACTTTTGAAACTTTAAACTCAATTTTAATATAACAATTATGTACTTAAAAAACAGGTGCACCACCAAAATCTCATTCCTACAATATACTACTTGGATTTCCCATTTCACAAATCACAAAACATTTCTCTCATTGGATTCGTTATTCATTCTATTACTTCTGATTTTGCTCCTCATGAACTTGAAAACCATTACCACTCTCCTTGTTCTTCTTCTTGTTCTTCTTCATCTTTCCCAAAATTCCCATTTTGCCCACGCCGGAAAGCGGAAGGTCCACATCACCGACGACTTGGACGATGTCTACGACGATGAAGAGGACGATGCTTGGAAAGATTGGGGCAAGAAACCCCAACCTTCTTTCCCACCCTCCGATTTATCCAACATGGACGCCTCGCAGATCCAAGACGAGATGAAGAAGCGCCACACCGGACCCGTCATCGGATTTGTCAAGCTCCGATTTGGGGTTCACCGGACTCCGGTGAGGAAATTTCGCCATAAAATTCGCTCATACCCATTTTTTTATAATTTGAGTTAAATTTGCTATTTTTGCTCGTTGTGCATAATGGGTTTGAGTTCAAGTTGTGGTTTTGCTCATACCCATTACATCTTTCTTTTCTTTTTTTAAAATTGAAATTGTGAATTTTGGTCGTTTTGGATAGGATAACTGGGTTTTGGTGGATTCTGGTAAGCACATTACCTCATGCCCGTTTATTGTTTTTTGAATTTGAGCACGAATTTGAGTTAAAGTTGTGATTTTTTCTCTTTGGGCTTGTTGGGTTCTGGTTTAGCACCCTGTATTGGGGTTTGCTTCTCTTATTTTGCAATATTGTAGTGAATAGAGTGAGAGTAATGTTTAAATTTTTGGCGATTTAGTTCACTATTGCATTGCTGCGTGAGCTTTGTGTCTATTTCTTCCAATCCAGAACTGTGTTCGGTGATTTGAATATGGACATGCCACTGTCCTTTGTTCTTGGGAGTTAGTATAGTTTATGTTGATTCACTGATTTGTGATAGAGCTTTGATTGAACTTTGAAGTAGAATATTATTAGGGAAAACTCCAATTTCCATCAATGTTTAACGGAAAATTCACTTTAGAAAAGTATATGTATCGAGTTGCACGTTTTTCAAAATTTGAGGATGAAAGTGCATGTGATCCTAAGATGGAGGGAGTAAATTGAACTTTTATTATTTTATTTCTACTTGTCATTTGTTTATACCTATGTGTATCATATCATATCTTGTTAAATTGTCAAGTGGGCCCCGTGCATACTGGTTACTTAAAAATATTTAGGAGCAGTATGAGAGGAGCTTGAGCTTTTAATCTGTACTTGATGTTCTATAATTTGCTTTATGATGTATTGAGGTTTCTAGTTTAAACTTTGTGTGATTGTTAAGTACCATAACCATTTTCCAATTTTCCATGTTTGATTTAGGACATGGTAGCTGAAATAGCCATGAAATGGACACAAGTTCTTAGAACTGGAGCTATTGGGGTAAGGTTTATGGGTGTTGATCTGAATACAGTCATGTTCAACATGGACAGCATCAAAGACTTGGAGGAGGTATGGCTTCCCTTTTTACTTTTTTTTTTATTTCTTTTTAAATATAGAGAAAAAAGAATAGAAGCAGCAGCTTGGCTCATTAATTTTGACAACCCACAATCTGTTATTATGTTCTTCACCTGCCTGCCCCATTTAAAGTAAATGATGCTGAATTTGAATCAGTGAACCTTACCTTCTGTTTCTTCCTTGTTCTAATGAAAAACTAGCTTTTAGATTCAGCCTAGAGGAAATACTAAATTTGTATGTCCTTAGTGTGTGATGATGCTTCCTGTTGATAATGTCTCATACTCGTATCATGTTATCAGTTAAAGGAATTTGTCTTGGACCAATCAGAGGCATATGAGATTAAAATGGGAGATCAACTTTTCCGAAGACCTGGAGATCCACCTCTAGATGAAGTTATTGAGAAGCTTAATAGTGAGAAAGGCAAAACAGATGATGCTGATCCAGAGGAAATTGATGGAAATTTGAAAACAGAATTGTAGTTAAACGGTATAGATATAATTTCCTACAAGTTGAGATGAAACAATTGTGTCACTTCTTTTCGAAGGTTTACTCTCAGTTTTGTTAATTCTATACTTCTGACTTACAACTTTTTCTTCCTCATCTTTTAATTAAGGTGATAGATAAACTGCATTTAATTTTAAATACCAGTGAAGTAGTAATCACCTTTGCTATATTTGGCAAGACTAAGAGAATCCACTTCTAGATGGTAGAAATTTTGGCCAAAAAATGAAAACCTTGAAATTATTGTAGTTTTTTTTTTTTATCATGACCAAATTATCATTGCTGAAAGTGAATGCTTTGAAAACCAATCAACCTCATATAACCATTTTTCGTTCTTACTTTGGAAATCCCAGTGATGGTGGTTTTCAAAGGGTCAGTGGTGAAGGGTGTTAAAGACTCTAACAGAATGTGTCCAGGCTCGGCTTTCCAAGTAAAATAGATCTCTTGGACATCAGATTATAGGAAAAAAGAACTTAGCATGCTACTACAAAGAATTTTTGTTCACAGATATCGGTTCACTCCTCAAATCTGCAGTATCTTAAAAATTTAGCAGTACCATATCCGAGTTGTATTTTTGTTAAAAGATTTGAGTCCTGAGAAATCATAATTTCTTCCTCAAACGGGTTCTGGATCTGAATCTTCTGAAAGTCCGTATTCACATTCATCAACTAGCCTTAGTCTAGGTTTTATCCATATATTTGAAGGGGAAAGATTTTACTAGTTCAGTAGAGAAGTAGATGTAACTTGCTATCAGAACTGCCTTAACATTAACTATAGGGACATCTACAAAGAATGTGTTTGTGTTGGACACTGCCAAGAGTTTCTATTATGCTTACTTTCAGTCCTCTAGTATGGACATAAATAACTACATTTTAACAAGAAAGCAGACCATTTTAACAATAACCTCAAAGAAGGATATGAATTACTGTAAATTAACAAGGAAAGGGGGGATTTTCTAAGTAGAAAGATTATGTTCACTGGAAATTTGTCGTTGTTTATACATGAGTTGGAAGAAAATATTTGGTTCAATGATTGATAAATGAAGACTCCTATTTCAACTTGTTGCTGAAGTCAGAGAGCTCAAGAACGTGAATTCTGGGGATAGCTGCAGCTTCCTCTCTCTCTTTAGGGGTGTTGTAACCCCAATTCCCTGCATGATCCAAACAATCATCCTTATTAAATACACACGCCTCTTTTATTAAAAAAACTGTGATAATACACAACATGGGGAACTGAGACAAAATGAGAGAGCGTGCAAAAATTATAAACAGGGCAGAGAGTACTACCTAGATACAAATTCCATTGGTCTAACTCAGGCTCATTGATCACATTTTTTAAGGTAGCTAGTCGATCCTCAACAAAGCTGGTTCAAATTAACCGGAATTAATTTCTTGTAAAACATCTTTACAAGCAAGGATTTAGTTCTATTCATATAATTAGCCATAACCAAAATGACATTAATTACTGCTAATAGAACATTATCTTACTGTAGTGTCAGCCCTTGGTGCTCTGGTTTCTTTTGAAGCTGCTTCAGAACTTCTACCTTAGGACTGTAGGTGAAGTTAAAGATGGTCCAGGAAAGATAAACTTATCAAAATAAAGCAAGAAAAAGAAGAGAGACAATAATATAAATATAAATATTCCACTGCATTATTTTGGTAAAATATATCAACTACTAACCCAGTTCCTAGACCATATATTCTTTCTGGTGGTATTATCACTCCAGCAAGCTCTCGAAGTAAAGCATCGGCAAAGCGGCTCTGCAATAAGAGAATCAAGGTGGTGGGGAAGTAGAAAACACAAAGTGAAAAGGGCATGATGAGAAATTGATAAAATGTACATGTACTTTAATTCAGGATAATGGCCCATTATCTTCATCCTCTCATATTTAACTTTATACTGAAAGTAAAACTATCTAATGTTAGGATTATTGTCTCCTTGCTAGGGCAAAGAGCAAAGATTACCTGTTTAGTGGTGACAATATACACTCTTGAGCTTGCAAATCTTAATGCATCAGAAACACCGGGATAGAATCTAGAGGCAAAGCATCGCCAATTAAAAGTAAGATATCCACTTTATGACTTGTGCAAAGAATAAAAAAATGTTACTGCATAAAATGATTTTTAAGATGCAAATATTCAGTGGCTTCATGCTTAAAGATATCTCTGCATAATGCTTTAGGTGTCTCATAATGCATCTGACATAATAAGTATCAAAAACTAATCCCCCGTCAGTGAGGTTTGATTGGACTACCTGTTTGCACCAATCCAAGTAGCAAAATCCTGCTCCAACCACTCATCTCTGACCTTTCCAAAAAGATCTATCAAATCATCCTTATTCTCACCCCATTCTTCCATAATAATGGGCTTCAACTTGGACCAATTCTCCAATATACCCTCAACTGTGAGCCCCTCTGCAACCTTGCACAAGAACTATGACATCAGTCAACAGGTCCAGAGTCAATTCTAGTTATTCGAAAGCAGATTCAGATTCAAGGCCACTCACTGGCATCATCATAAATTATAAACCTAGTTCAAGTGACACAGCTTGCAATTGCTAATAATTAATGATAAAATCAGAGCCATAGACATTTCACCCACCGAAGACTTCCTGATGGAAGGTGTTCTGGACTCTAGCAACAATCTCACAAGTAAAAGGTTTTCATATCCAGTTTCCACCACTGGCCGCACCTGACATGAACAGCTATGGAAGTTCATCTTTAAAACGAAAACAAGTCCAACATACATCCATATGGCAATAGTCTTGAAACTGGAAACACTTAGAATAATTACGGAAAAGATTCATAAGATTAAACAGTTTAAAGATCTGCAGTGGAAATCTATGATTGAAGCAATCAAGCAAATATAATCTATTATACTCAAGACAGAACAGTCAAAATGGAATATAAGAAAACAATAGCCAATAAATATATAAAGTATGAAAAAAAAATTCCCTCTCATTCCCTTTTTATAGTATAAGGAAAAAAATTAATAAATAAGACTCTACTTTACATCTACATTCAGTCATCTAAGTACATTGGATTCATGGCCTTTTGGTCTAAATTGCCCTTTGTATGTTTACAGAATGTACTATATATATCCACGGTTCCAAGTTTCCTTATTTTACAATCAGAAGTAGTTGACATTTGACAAATGTAACACTTCATTCAAATTCAAAATAAAATTAAAAAATAAAAAACCTGTAAAGTATAAACCCAAGGGAAGAAGCAAAACCCAGAATTCAAATCAAAAGCATCCTAAAACAAATTAGCTAATTACAAAGTCAAACTAAATGCAAAAATTCAAGCTCACTTCCTGTTATGCTACCACTAACTATTATTCATTCAATCAAATTACAAAACAAACTACCAACACAGCTTAAACAAAAGCAGAATAGTATAAAGTTCCATAACAGATGAAGCAAAGTCAAATCATCCACAAAAATTATTTACTGTATGCATCTGGTCAACAATCCAATCTTCTGTGGCAGAATCCACCCCATCAAACAAACCGGGCCATCTCACTTTCGCAGCCTACAAAATTGTCAAACAAACCCTAATTTAGCACACTTATGAATTCCCATTAAATTTTTTTAAGAAAAGATTGAAAATTTAAAATATTTAAAATGAAAAAACAAAGACCCAAAAATTGTTTTGACTGGAAATGGTCAAAGATTGTGGTCTTTCTCTCTGGAAATAGAGAAGAAGAGAGGAACCTTAACAGCAGAGAGAGAGCTTTCTCCGCAGCTATCACAGATGATTCCGTCGAAGTCCAACGCGTAAAGCTCACCCATTTTCACTCTCTTCTCTTCCTTTTCAGTTTTCACTCTGCAAATGTTTTCTGTGCCATCCAAACAGGTCGTTATTTCATTCTCTTGTGTTGTGGGAAGGAGATAGGTCCGGTTCGGTTCGGTTAATTGCATTCCTTTTACAAAGAAAGAAAACCGGAATGCTCTTGGCATTATTGGTGTTCGGACCGGTTAACCGGTTCAAACTTTTTATTAGGCATATTCCATTCCACGTGTGTTCAAGAATGGTTCATAGATACAAAAGTTAAGTTATCCAAACAAAAAAAATTCAAAAGTTAAAATGCCACGTTTCCAAAAAAATAATTCCCAAATACGTTATATTTTTGGGATTTTTTTTAGTTACCACGTGTAAGTTATCTGCATTGAGCCTAAAATAATGTTATTTTAGGACAAAAATTAATATATTTTTATAACTTTAATTTATTTCAGGGTTATAATAGTTTTTATCAACATAATTTTTTAATCTTTCAATCTCAAAATGATGTTATTTTGAGAGTGAATGCAAATAATTTATCTACAGTTACTCTAGACATATTTTTCTATATATTTTTTGGGTTCGTTTTTTCTACAGTTACTGCAGATAAGTTATCTGCAGTAAGCCAATACGACGTTGTTTTGAGGCAGAAATCACGGTCTTTTTGTAATTTAAATTTATTTCAGGGTTATAATAGTCTTTATATTTATAATTTTTTAAGATTTCAATACCAAAACGACGTCGTTTTGGGAATAAATGCAGATAATTTATCTGCTTAACTGCAGAAACATTTTTCCCATATTTTTTAAGGAAAAGTATTTTCTCATGCTATTAGAACATCTTGTCTCATATCATAGAGATAAACATGAGACAAGATGTCTCTATGACATGAGACAAGATGTCTCCAATAACATGAGATTAATAAGTCTTATTTTTTAATTGGGTTTAATGTTTCTTATACTATAGAAGATAAATTTATCTTCTACACATATATAAAAGTGTACAAGACAAGACCCGTGTGGAGCCATGTGAAGAGAGAAGAGAAAAAGAAAAAATATGGGTCTCACATATTTTTATGCTTATATAAAAAATAAATTTATCTTCTATGACTTGAAAAATATTAAAAAATTTAATTTGTTTTATTTATCATATTTATATTCTGTTAACTCCATTCGCGAAATCAAATGATTCATGAATGATATATATATATATATTATATTTATAAATTTTTTGTTTACAAACTATACTATATACTCCTGAAAATATACTAGATTGCACTATGTGTAACCTAGTGTATTTCTGAGAATACATAGTGTAATTTATAAAAATTAATAAAATAAATTTATAAATGGATCTTTTCTCATTTTATTAAACTAAAATCAATCATTAACTTTGTCGGAATATTAAATTAATAAATTAATAATTAAACTAATAAATCATTAATTGAACCACTTCAACTCAATTTATATAAGAATAGCAATGAATAAAGTAATAAAAGTAGGGAAATAATAATCTTATGTTACATAAGATTGTTATCTTATGTATAAGACACAAAGTAAACGTGGGACCCATTTTAATTTTTTTTTTCTCTTCCTTATTCTCTCTCCTCTCTCCTCTCTATGTGTGTGTAGGAGATAACTCTTCTCCTATGCAACATGAGAAAAGACAATCCCATAAAAGTATTATAGCAGAGTTGTCTCTCCTACGTACAGTCCTTCCAAGTCCCATGTTTGATCCTTGGAATGGGAACTCTTCAAACGATGCCGGTTGATAGTTGGTTCTTCAGTTTCCTACCAATTCAATTAGTACAAAATTTTTAAGATTATCTTATTGACTTCATTATTAAACTTGAGCAATTTGATCTTGAACAAATAAAATAAATTCGCTCACTTTTCTTTATTGAGATGAACTTGCTCAGTTCGTATTGTAACAAATCTTAGTGTAGCATATTCATTTTTACTCGATTCATTTGACCCAACTTAGTTTATTGAATAGCTTGGGTAGCTCAAAAACAAGAATATAGATTTGGTCAAATTTTCTTGTCCCAAGTAAACCTAACTAATCAATCATATCTCCAATTCCAAATGATGTCATTGCTTACAATTACACAAATAGCCTAGTTTTGAGTTTATGATAATAAGAAAGAACTTAAAAATGATGTTTTGAGTTTACAATTAGGGCATATTTGGTGCATAGTATAGGATAAGGCCTGATAGTATAAAACCTGATAGTATAAGGTCTAATTGTATAAGACCTGATTGAATTTTAATATTTTGACACGGTATTGTATAAAATAATATATTGTATAAGATAATATCATCTAGTATTTGGTAATGCACTGTATAATACTATATATGATAAAAATAAATATTTTTAATAAAAATATCCTTTAATAAAAATTTTATATAATTCTTCAAAAAATATCATATGATATTAATTTTTATAAAAATTTATTGATCAGTGTGTCCAAAATATAAATTAATTTTTATAAAAATAAAAATATTCAATATTTTAAAAATTAATATATTGAAAAATAATTTTTTATTTTAATAGATTAATATTAAATAATATATTAATTTTTGAGAATTACATTGGTCAACGATGTTAATACATCAATCTCTTATTAGGCCTTATCCCTCACCCTTAGGCCGGATTAAGTTATACATCGTTTTGATGTATTAAGGGATTATGTTGTATAAGCTTATACTATACGGTGGTCACACCAAACAATTAAAAATGTCATAACGTATAGTATAAGTTTATACTATCATGCTTTACACGTCACACCAAACAAGTCCTTACCGTTCTATTTAATTCGCATCGGATTAATCAAAAAATCGATGAATTAATATATAATATTAAAAAAGAACTTAAATAAGCTACTCAAATTTACAAAGTTTATGCTAATCGGCGTTTTGGACACGTTATTGTCATGCTACAAAACAAAAATTACAAATAAATACTTTCTTACTTCTTCTTTTTTTGTTAAAAACTTCAAATAAATAAACACACCCTTAAAAGGTTAATTGTATCCATTATGTTGTATGAAACTCGCATAATTTGAAATTATTTCGCATATATTTAAATAATTATTTTTTGGATATGTTATTTTATCTAGCTTTTTTTTGTCTACTTTTATCTATCACTCTCCAACACCATTAATCATAATCTCAATAAAAGAGAGAAATAATAAAGATAGTTAAAATTCTACTCTAATAATTTTATAGAATGATAAGCAAAGATAGACAGAAAAAAAAAAAAGGTAGAATAACCTATTTTTTTTTAAATAATATTACATGTACTAATTTAACATAAGTATAAATTAGAAAAATAGACGCTTAACATTGCTTGTTCTTGAAAAGAATTTATAATGCCCAATTAAGTAAGCATTCTTAAATATCACCTCCAACAATGCATATTATCCCAAACAAAAAATAAATTTTTAAAAATTAAAAGAAATTGATTCAAGTGGTACATATTTAATTTCGTTTAAGTAACGTCTTGAATTCAAGTCTTTATAAATATATATAAAAAAAAAAACCTTTAAGAGAACTAATCACATCATAATATGAATATTCTCGGCTTGATCAAAATTATTTTTACACGAGAATACATGTGGTTTAGCATTAAGGGAACTCCACCTCTATTGAACAAAAGAGTCACCTTACAGATTACAATTACAATCGAAATGATGATAACAATTTGAATGCACCATACGAATATGCAAAACGATGCAATATACGAATACATGTGAAATATTTTAGGTACATCCATTATATCATTGATTTAGTGTCACGAGCCAATTAAAATAGGATATTTTTTGTAAGATGTGTATAAAATAAATTAATTCAAATATTAATTTTGAGAAATCATTTTTTTATGAACGATACTGTTTCTTCCTACAACAAGAATTCAGTTCCATATACTGAGGATACATTTTCATATCCTAATTTTTTTTTAATCGTGTGACTCACACTTGATTTGTGTGTGTGGATAAAATATTTTTGTCATGTGACATGACAAAAAGTGAATCCATTAATTTTTAAATGAAAGTTATAGATATAGAGAATGTATCGAAAATGCTCACCAATACATGATGCATCAACCACGAGTATTTAGCACTTAATATATAGGGAGAGATTATATTAACAAAATTTTTTCTTATAAATTTATAAATTACACTACATTTAATTGATCAGACTTTAATCAATAATGCATAATCGATCAGACTTAATATAATTTGTAACTTTATAAATTTTGTAAGAATTTTTTTTTTAAAAGGACAAGATTCTACGCAACACCTACTTCTATACTATTAGATTCTCTATATTTATATATATTTGTCAAAATATGGTAAAAGCCACTATATGATCATTATCTGCTCCTTAAATTATAATTGGGAAAATATTATCTTATGCTGTAGGAGAGTATTTTTCTCTCCTACACATACATCGACTTCCGTGATGTTTCTTTTTCTTTTTTTCTTTTTCTTTAAGTGAGTGGGTCCCACTCATAACTATCTCTATGACATAAGAGAGCTTCTCTTATGTCACATGAGATTAATAAAGCCCATTATAATTTATGAGATCAAAGTGGATATGAGAAAAGAACAAAAGGATTGATGTTTGTCCCCTTCCTCCAATCATTGTCACTACCATACGCACAGATTCCTCCAGAGGCAAGTCAAGTCACTAATGCGTGAACGCGGAAAAGTGCTCTGATACCAGTTTTGATTATAAGAGCAAAGTTAAGGCCCATTCCAGCTTTAATTTTGTTCAGTTTAAACTTTATTTAATGTTTGAGAAATTAATAAATTAATTATTTAAAAATACATCAATATGATGTAAGAGTTTTTTTATTTTATTTAGGCAGACCCATCAGGCATCACTTATGGACACGCAACTTTTTTGTAAAAAATATATGTCGCATACCGACACATTTTCACACGCGATTAATATTTTGAAACACACAATTAATGTTTCGACATATTTTGACACATTTTATCGACACCCGATCAATGTTCCGATATGCATTCGACATATTTTTTTTAGGTCTTAATTTTATTTTATTAACTAAACATAAAAAATAATTTATAAATTAATTTTTTTTATTATGAAATTTGACATGAAAAATTAACAAGATACGAAAAATTGTTTTTGTTTATATTTATGTTATGAAATTTGAATATTTGATTGGTTATATGACTTATTATTGATTGTTATATGTATTATATGTAAATTATTATATATATATATATTAAAAATATTATTTAATATCAAAATGTGTTCCAATGTGTCGAAATATGATATTTTTTAGAATTAATGTGTCGGCGTGTCATGTAATATCGTGTTCCATATTAGTGTCGGTGCACCATAATAGTTAAATATTGAAGGAATTTTACAAGGAGTCTAAAAGAAAAAAAGAGAGATAGAATGAGAAAGAAAAGTTTCTTACCACATAAATTAATGATTGATAGTGTGTTTTTTTATAATACTATTAAGGGAATAACAGGGAAAAAAAAAATTCTGTCACCGAGTAAATCAAGGAAAGAGAAACTGATTAAATGATGGACCCATTTTTAATTTATTCTCTATGGAAAAAAAAAATCTGTCACAAATATAGAAAGGGAAAAATGTTTGTCATTTTAAATGACAGAAAGTTATGTCATTTTAAAAGAGATACAAATACAAAAAATTTGATTTTTAAATTAAAAAAAACTACTCACTTTCTCTCTCTCATGATTTCCATTTTTCTGTGTCTATTTCTCTCTTAAAATGACATAACTTATGTTATCTAAAATGACAAAAACCAAACCCATATAGATATATTATTCCCTACTATTAATTTGTATTCACCCATTCGGTCAAATTTTTGCAACCATGTCTTAGGTTACCTTATAGGACTATTAAAAGTCTAGGCTAAAACTGGCCTAACTCAATTGACTCACAGGTTTAATAATTAATACATTAAGTATTAACCTACCATTTGGCTCCTTTTTTAAAATATTAAATATTTTTACTATTAAAGTAGGATGTGAACTCTTTTAACTCATAAATCTTTAAGAATCAAAGGGGATTATATTCAAACACTGATTCGTTTAAAAAAAGAGAAAAGTTTATTATATTTCTGTATGCATATATATGATGAGGCTAGTCGTATTAACTCCTTTTGGCATTATTTTATGCCTTGATAGTTCTTGTAGAAGCAAGAACACTTTAACAATACTAATTGCGAGTTAATATTGAAAGGTATCGGATTCATGGTAAGAACTGAAAAGAATGTGCTCTGAATATTCAGTTCACCAATATTTTTTTTATAACTTTTTTATAAGTTTATTTTTTAATTTAGAAGAAATCTATTAAAAAAATTATTTTGTTTTTAAAAAACATTTAATTATCTTTCAATTTTTTATTATTTTCATAATTAAAAATATTTTTCCTAATGAAATAAACAACCGGCCGGTCCATATAAATGATTCGTACAGAAACAATGTATTTTATTTAAACAAAGACTCAACTAACTCTAACAAGAATTACTGTCTAACAGTATACATACACTACAAATGGTTATTCTGTTACCCTTTGAAACACTATAATCAACATGTAATAACTGAGTTCCTGATGAAAATTTAAATCATTTTAATACAGTTATAAATTATTGAGAATCGTTTTAATTTTCTTATGCGTATTATTCTGGTCTCTAAGCCTCTTGAAGGAGAATAAAATCTTATGGCTTTCACTTTGTGTTTTCAATTTGTCAGAAGTTCAAACATTATAATGCTTTTAATATTTTCTTTTAAGTGAAGTCACATCATGAATCCTTGTAATTAGAGCACTACATCTGTCAATAACAAGCTTATCCAAACTTCCAAACCCAACTAAGGAATCGAGCTGAGCTGAGGTAAGTTTACATTTAGAGAAGGTTCATGAATCATAACCATTAACCAGTAAATTTCTGTTTTGATTCACATTTGGGTTACAAAGAAAAAAGAAGAAGAGTATTTGGGTTTCACATTTCAAAAAAGATTGAGCCCTATATTTATATTTTGGTTTTCTCTCAAATTACAATTGCAATCTAACCGTACGTGGTCCAAAAATTTAAATTATTCCACTTGATAAACACTGTTTCATAAATGTTATAAGTGTAAATATTAAATTACAACAGGTCTAGTATCTCAAATAACAAAAAAGGTAATGCTAAACTTATATTTATATATATATAGGATTAATATTTGTCCTTTTAAAGGACATAAAATTATGTCATTTTAAGTAATAGAAATAAATAGAAATGAAAATAATAGAGAGTATGTGTGATGTTTTTTAATTTAAATTTTAAATAAAAATATTACTTTTAACAAAAAGAATCATCCTTTAAAAGAATAAATATTTTAAGATTTAAAAGAATCATCTTGCTTTCATAAATTATATATGTGGTAATAGATTGATCACTAAAATTTAAAATCAATCTATTACCACATATATAATTTATGAAAGCAAGATGATATATGAGTTCCTCGTTTATGCTGTTGCTGCATATGGAAAAAGTTGCAGCAAACATATTTACACTAGCATACGGAGCTGAATCCTGGAATAAAAAAAAATCAAATACTAATTCGGATCCTGGTGGAAATAAATATTGTTGCAAATTTTTGAATTTGTAGCAACAACAGAGCTATTTTTTTTTTTTTTTTTGGTAATCACAACAGAGCTATTAAATTCATTATATATATAAACATTAATATTTATGATAAATTAAAATTGAGCTTCAAAATCTCTAAAAAAACTCTCTTATATAACTAATGATTAATAAGTGTAATCCAATAAATTATAATCAGTAGATTAAAGAAAATCAACAATTTTAAATTTGATAGTAAGTGGTTGTAAAACTTTTAGATTATAAGTATATCCTCCCTCATTAATTATAAAAAAATTCAAAGTAGAAAAATCAAGAGTGCAATTAAAATGCAGAGATATGGATACCAAAAAAAAATTGCATAGATATGGATGATTATAATAAATAAATAAAAAAACAAAAGATCACAGAATTGATTGGTTCAGTTGTGAGTTGTACATGTCTACCCTTCTCAAGTTCTGATCCATACTCAAATTTTCATTTTATTTTTTAGAGATTTCGTATTGAATTTTTTTCTAGAGTATTGTATTCTCAATATACGGTCAAACATCAAAGCAAGATTGTACCAAAAAAATAAAAACATCAAAGCAAGAATTCTCTTAATAATATATTTATTTCACACACATAATTATAAATCATGAAATTGAACTCAACGTTACACGAATTTTCGAAGCACCTTTTGGTTTTTTTTCTAGGAGATGACCAACTAATAAGGTGGGTCTTAAGGGTACACTACACACTATAATAAATAATAGAAATCAGATAAAAAAGCAGAATATCACATAAATTGATTAGTCCAGTTGTCCCTATCCATCCCACTGCCTGATCAATTCTCAAATTTCAATTTTTTTTTTAAATGATCGAATTATTTTCTCTTATTATATCTTATATTCTAAATGATAAAGTAATTTCCTTGACATGCATTTAAGCACTAAAATAAAAATCCCTGCTAAAAATATTTCTTTTACACACATAAATCATAAAATCAAACTCAAAACTAAATATTTAAGAGATCTAAACCCCGCTATTTTTGTTCTTTTTTGGTATATCTAATTTTCTCTTTCAGAAAAGTCGGTTCTTCAAATATTTTCACAAAATTTCAATTCTTTAATCCCACTATGAGACTTATCACGAGTAGAAATTTAGTAACAATTAAATACCATCAATTTAGGTAAACACATACTGGTAGATTCCATGCTAAATTATATTAAATTAAACACATGTAAGGAGATTATTATTTTTCCTATTTATCTTTTACTTTCCCCAACATTTCACTTCAAATTAGATTAAATTAATTTATATTTATATTTATGTTTATCATTATTATTATTTAAAGATTGTATAAATTTATACAAAAATTATTTTCGTGATCAATTAGTAGTTAACATAAGAAAAATGAACCACTAATTACTCTCTTTTATCTGTATTATATGTCATTTTGATTAAAAAAATATACATTTTATTCGAAGTAATTATCTCACATATCAATAAAATATTAATACTCTAAATTTATTTTTGTTTATCTTTATCATTATATTCTAAATTCTTTGAAGTTTCGCTCATATATTAATGTGACGCAACAGAGCGGAATAATTGAGCAAGGGTAATTTAGTAACACAGTTTATTAATTAAGGGTTAGAGAATAAAAATATTAATTAAAAAAAATAGCGTGTAAAAAATCTCCTTATTTATGGATTAATGTTGTTGAAGTTGTGCTACACGTTTCGTTTACAGTGGGCGCGACAGTTAGATTATTAGATCCCATGTCTCTGACACCACGCAAACGGCGATAACCGGTAACGCTCCAGTTTCACCACTCTCTAATCAACCTGCTATAGCCGGTAACTTACCCGATAAATGAATCTTCAGTATAAAAACCAAAACCCCCTTCTCATGAAGCAAGTTCGCAGTTTCGACCTCATCGTTATCGACATCGTACCTACGTTCTGGTTGTAAGCAGATCGTGTCGCGTTCAGCTTCGGTGAGTTTTTTTTTTTTCTTTTTCTTCTTCTTCTTTTGAAATTATTCAGACGTTAATTATCTCTTTTGGTGTTGATTTTCGAGAGGAAAATTCGTAGATGATTCTGGAACCTGCTTTGTCTGATGATGATGATGAAACTGTGTGGGTTTGATTTTTTATTTTGATTTGGTTTTTGTGATTTGTGCTGTGTTTGGATCTCTGTGTGGGATGTTATTTGCTTGTGTTTGTGTTTGTGTGTAAGTAACTCTAACTGTGCATGTGTTGTGTTATTCGAGTTCAATGAATTGATGGAGCGTATGCTTTTTATTCGATGGGGTTAATGATCAATTTTGAGAGTAAGGAGAAAAAATTAATATGGAATTTGTAATTTCAGAGGACTGTGGTTAGATGAGCATGGAGAGATGGTGATTTCATTTCATGGTGTTTTTAAATTGATTGTGAGAGAAATGAAAGTTTAAATTTAAAGAGGGTTGGGGGGGGGGGGGGGGGGGGATGAAATTGTTTGCAAGAAATTTTGGATTTTTCTTTTTTTTTTTCTTTTTCATAAGTAATGGCAGAAATTGCATCAAGCATTTCTTTCTTCGGAAATTTCCCTCTTCTTGTCAATGAAGTTGATTTAGAACTTAGTATTGATGTGTTTGTTGGTTTATAAATTGAGCCATGCCACCTCCATGCTTATCTACACAAAAAAGAATAACGTGATAATCAACCCTTTTCTGCGTATGGTTGTGACTTTTTGAGTCTAATTTTTCCCAAAGTAGTTTTCTTATAGATTATTGGCTATTCAAATCATACTCTTTTTTTGGGTTACACCTACTCTCTCCACTGTATATATTATGCTTGTTATCTATGTATGCATTTGTATTATTCATGTTTACGTATACTCTAAGTAGAATTCGAATTCTGATATTATGTTTCTGATTAAGACAAAAGATGGCAAACAATGAGGATGGAGAGGAAAAGACCTCTCGCGGGAATGAATGGGAGGTAGTATCTCTTACGGCGTCAACATATGCAGCTGCTCCGGGTCCTAATGAAGTTGAGTTAAAGGACGATGACAAGGAAGATGTATATGCACATGCACAGGATGAAGCAGAAACATCGCAAGCTTTGTTCATGTCTGGTCACTTTGTCTTTCCACCAAACCAGCATGAAAACCTGCCATTGGAACCTGAGTATAGTGAGATTCATGATGAATCTGGAGACAAAGATCTTACCTATGATGAAGAGACTCATGGAGAAGGGACCAGACCTAGTGGAAAGGATGAAGAAAACTTGACATTAGCGGGATTGAATGTTTCAGAGGAGTTTGAGGGTATACAATATTTTGATGAGAAAATCAACAGGTTATCTGCTCGTGGTAAACAGTTTGAGGAAGGGACAACTCTACCAGGTTTTGGTTTGACTGAAAAAGAGGAAAGTATGTATGACCCTGCAAAATATACTTCTTTCCACAGTGAAACAACTATTGTTGGTGTAACTCCATATGGTGAAAGCATGATGGAGTCTGAAACAACCGAAGCAGCAGAGCAAGGATCAAATCTATCTCCTGATTTATCACTTTCAAAGAACTCTTCCAAAGATGACAAATACAACCCTTCAGATCTTCCTTGTGGAGCTTGGTGGAAGCGAAGAGCTGCCTCCTTATATGCTCATGCAAAAGAGGCAAATGCATTCTGGTCTGTTTTCGTTGCAGCTACAGTAATGGGCCTTGTAATGCTCGGCCATCGCTGGCAGCAGGCAAGAGCTTTAGAACTAAAGTTGCAAATCAGTGCAAATGATGAGGTATATCCATTGTCATCAATTGTTCCTCTAAAAACAACTTTATTTTGTCATATTTTTGTTTACTCTTTGGTCAGAAAATATATACATTTGATAAAGGGGAAAACAACTCTCATGTTGTAGGAGAGTTGTTTTCTTCTACCAGTGACCTTTCGATTTTCGTGCAGCATTTTTTTTAATAAATGTGGGTCCCTCAGAAGATGTGTCTATAGCATGAAATATCTATCTCCTAATGCATGAGAAAATTGAAATCCTTTGATAAATGGTATAAGGTTTTCAAATGCTGAGTTTCCACTCTAAAGCACTAGCTGTCCTATAAAAGTGAAAGTGTAAAAGTGAAGTGTTGAAATATATAAAAACCATTAATGTAGCCTCACCCAATAGCTTAAGCTTTTGGGTTGAATTGGTTTTTTACATGAAGCATAAAGCACTTCTTATACGTACTATGCAAAAAGATGCTTGATTTTGTCAGTTATTTAGACTGCCTATACACTATGGACAGAGGATCTGATGGTGGTGATACAGTGAATCAGTGACGAATGATTATGCTGACTGTTTAATGGCTTTGGCATCTTTATGGCTGTAAACTGTAGCTTAAGACCTGATGACCCTGTGTAGTGATTTTGATACAAGAATGATCTTGATTGCACTTTAAAAATTAAGAATGCTGTTATTAATTTTTCAGCAATGTAAATATTTATTTTCCTTGTTAAAAAAAAAATTAGCAGCAGTAGAATTTTGAAGAGCTATTGAGGGAAGCATAAATCTCTCACAAATTAAAAGTATTTGTGAAAACTTGATGCTTTTCGTCGGCAGGAAGATGACCATGAATTCTTTTTTGGTGCAATTCTTTGAGTGCCCTGTTTGATTCCTTTTAATACTTAAAAGATTCTGACATTCCAGTTGTTACCCATTTTGCAGGTGACAAGCAAGGTGCTTGCTCCCATATTTCGACTCAAAGATGTCATTGTTGGTGGCCACCGTCGTGGCTCCTTGGTCAGGGGAAGCTCCTCTGGTGAAAGTTAAAGATGACTTGGTGCATGTAACTCCTATTGTTGTGGTAAAAGCTAAAGATGATGACGAAAAATTGTATGTCAGAGAGAGGTTGAGAATGAGAAATGCTATAGTTGTGAAGTGGAGGATTGATTGACCTTTCCCAATTATGAATGCCGGATTGTTAAAAACATTTTATATTGTGAATTTTCTTGGTCTTTGACTTGATATGCATTGTATAGCTCTGGATGTTATTCAACTTAGTAAGTCATGTATTCTGATTATGTGGAATTGGCAGTTTAGACACCAAAGATGAGATGTAAATGAAGTGATTGCTTTAATGGTGGGTGTCAGTTTTCCTCTGACTCAAACAGCTTCAGAGTCTTGCTAATGGGACTGAAATAGGTAACTCCAATTAAAATTTGTCTCTTATATTCATAGGCAGTGAACCTGAATGCCTGTTTGGATTCTCTTATTTTTAAGCTAGAAGTTACTTATAAGCATAAGCTAGGCCAAACAGGTTTTGAGAAAAGCTCTTATAACGAAAAGCTCTTTTTTTATAATGAAGAAAAAAACTGAAAATTAAAAGCTCTTAGGAGGAGCTTTTTTTTAAGCTCTTATTTATTTTTCTTGAATTTTGTGTTTTTTTTAAATGAAGAGTGATAAAGAGAAAGAGAGAGATCATTTTCTTAAAATATGTGCTTTTAATTAGTTTTTAAACTAAAATTTTTATGTAATTTCTAAACAGTTTTTAGCTTATTTTTTTAAGCTCTTTATTTTAGCTTTAGCTTATAAGTAGCTTCTAGCTTAAAAATAAGAGAATTCAAACAGGTTCTGAGTCTCTAAATTGTATTAGCTGATATGACCGCATGCTCATGAATTCATAGATACTGTTCCATTAGGCATAACACGTGAAAACAAATACATTATGTGTTGACACATTTTTTTTAAGTTTTAAAAAGAGATTCCTTTGTGAGTAACTCATCCTCACTTGTATGAACTTGGAAAGTTCTATGCTACTTATAATAGTAAAATGTTGTGTAGCAAAGTTTTTCTGATCCTGTTAAAGGACAAATTAAAACCCCTTAAAACTAACCAAAATAACCAAAAACTAAACAAAAGTGTACAAGTTCTAGATGTAAATTTCTAACCGTAAATATTATTGGAAAAAATTATGAAAACACCTTCGAAACTTTACCTTGCTTTGAAATTACTACCATGAATATTTAATTTCCGATGAATAGTCCTTAAATTTTATTAAATTTGTAAATAGATCCCATTACAAGTTAAAGAAAATCCATTTATCATATAACTTCTTAATATTAATTAAGACATATGATAATATCTATTTTATAAGGTAGGGGCGAGTACAGTTCTATTCAACCGAACTAAACTGGAAAAAAAGTTCAGATCGAAAAACTGAACTGATTTATTTTTTTGAATAAGTTATGAACTAATTTTTAAAATCGTTTTTTGGTTATTTTGGATCCTACCTATTAGAAGTAGGTTCTTTTGACTCATGTATTCTAATAAGCACTCTTATGAGATATGAGTCAAACCCTTAACTAACTGTGCTCATTTTTGTTTGTCGATGAACTCACTAATTTTTTAACTTAATTAATGAATGAAAAGGTCGATTTGCAAGTTTTACACGATTTGTCACCTGAATTAAAATTAAAAAAATTCAGGTGGCTATTTCAAATAAAATAATGTTCGGTTGGTGCTTATGCAATTTTTCCCAAATTATTTTATTACTACATTAATGACTAATTATCTTATAATCAAATAAATAGTATATCTTTTTCTTAATTTCTTCATCACTCAAACTCGAGAAGACTAGTTAAACTAAAACAATCTCATATCGGTTGATTCACATGCTTAACAATAAATGATATCATCTTTAATAGTTTATTTTGAGCGGATATATCTTGATCAACATTATTAGATTTTCTTAGTTGTTCTTTTTTTTTTTGGTAGTTTTCTTTGTTGTTCTTTATTTGTAGTCAGCCCCTCCTTTATAATAATTAGATGTATTCATCAACCGATTCAAACTATGGTCATCGATCCCAAAAATTCGATAACCGAATTAACTGAAGAAAAAAAAAATCGCATATTTTAAATTGGAGTGGATCGATTTTCGGTTAAGTTGGTGGAAACCGATTCAATACAAACCGATCCAATGCATTATGTATTTATTATTTTTGAAAGATAATGACTTGGAATCTTAGATGCTATTGATAGCAAATTTTTATTTTAGTTTTTTATTGTCCTTAATCTATTTTAACTCTTCGTGAGTTTTAGGACTTGTTTTATTTTGAAGACTTGATTTTTTCGGTGGTTTGTAATTTTTTATGGCTTTATTTTGATATAACTAGTGATTTGTATGGTTGAAATCTATGATGCACCGACACCAACATAGGACATGGAACACGATACGACATTCCGACATGTTAATTTTAAAAAATGCTAAATTTTGACACACTAAGACACGTTTTGATATTAAATAATGTTTCTAATATATATAATATAGTTTATATTTAATACATATAGCAACTCATAATAAGTCATATAACTAAACAAATATTTAAATTTCATAATACAAATATTAAGAAAAATAATAGAACATTCCAAGAGTAACTTATATGCTCCCAAGCAAAATAGTTTGTACTTTTTGTTCCTGGTACGCTTGATATAGTTTACGCTTGATATAGTTGAAACTTGAAAGCATAAGCTTGAAATATATACGCCATCAATCCACCGCCCTCCAAAATATCTTCCACTACAAAGCCTAATACAGTAATACAAAAACTAAACAAGATAATGTAAATGTACTAAAAAAACAAAGATAACATAAAGTTTGAAAATCCTACGTGACGTTAGCTTGTTGTAAATCTTTTTAATGCGATCGACACGTGTCCTTCGGCCGCAGAATTGTGCCCATGGTTCTTTGTTTCTTTGAAAAGCCATTTTACACTTCTCAGATCCAAAATCCAACGAGAGCTTTTCTCTAGCACTTGTATTTCAAAAAGCAAGAAAGATAAAGATTATTTTCAGTGTAAAAAAAAAGGCTACATTCAATTCTGGACATGATTTAAGGTACACGAGTAGGGTGTTATATCAAGCAGAGATGAGGCGAGAGGTGACGAAGATGACAAAGAAGAGAAGGAGTAGCAGCCTCCACAGTCCAGCGTGAAGACAGAACATAGGGTTCTAAATTTTTTAATTTTTATTAAATATTTTTACTTTTTTTTAAATTGTAATTTTTTTTTTACAAAAAATATCAACGTGTCCCAAAATATGTCCAAATAGACCGCGTGTCGGATTTGGTCAAAATCGTGTATCCCCTTAGTCAAGTCAACGTATCCCAAAAAATTGATCGCGTGTTGAAGAACGTGTTGGTGTCTAACACGTATTTTTCCCAAAAAAAGCCATGTCAGGTTGAAATTTTAGGTTTTTTGAAAAAATTGAAAACAGATCTAATCACAACCGAATAAAATTAAATTTGATTGGATTTTAGAAAAAAAAATCCAAACTAAATAGATGATTAAATGATCAAATCGAAGATATTGAATCGAATGATTTTTGCTTCAAAATCGATCCAATTCAGATCGTGAACACCCTTAATAATAATAATAATAATAATAACCATTTTCATTTTTTCACCTCACATCAAATCTGCGTAATTGATTCTGTCGCATTCTTACTTTTACACATGTAAGAGATGCGAGACATGAAAACATACAACTAGCATTTTATAATAAATATATGTAATTTTATTATTATTATTTTTATTTTTATTTTTAAAAAAGAATCAGCATAATTAGACAACTTAGGTCACTTTTTCCCGGGTCTTGTAGATTAGATTTGGCGCCATCACTGTGCAAATCCCAAACCCAAACTCCAACGCCTCACACAGACTCACACCGCTACATCTCACATTCTCACTCACGATCCTTTCTCTTCTCTCTTTTCTTCACCACCTATCGTTTTTCTCTCTTCACTCGCCTCACAAAAACAGGTAACTTTTTTATTTTTTATATTTTTTTGCATTTTATTTTTTTCTGTACAGGTTTCTTCAACTTAGGTCACTTCACGCTCAACCCTCCTCCTCTTCTTTCTCATCATATATATGCAAACAACGCATGGAGCAATAATGCAACCAAATGTTTAATATTTCCGCACCCTATATCTTATTGTTATTTTTTTTAACCTAAGTTCGTGGTAAATAATCGTGGGTTGTCTTCAAAATGTGTTTTTTAAATATGCTAGCTTATATTTTATTTTTATTTTTTTGTTATTGAAGTTATTTTAGTTTGGCTTGCTGGGAATGATGATTCAAACAAAGATGATGCTAATGATAATTATGTTGCCATAGAATAGAAATGATTAAATTAAACTTATTTTCCACTCTGCAATGACTATTGTTGTGGGGAGGGGGGTTGGTTATGGGTGATTGTAGTATTATGGGAATACTTGGTGTGATGGGGAAGTGCTTCTGTTTACTTCCTGATTGGCTAACAAGCAGCCCTAAATTTTTTATATCATTTTTCTTATTTCTGAGATTATTAAGGGAGAAAAAAATGTCACTAGTTTTTTAGCTTAGTGGTAACTCAAGTTGGTATGTTTAATCCCTCTTTCTCTCGCTCTCTTTCTTATGTGTGTGTGAATTTAACGTAATATAATTGGATAATGCCAAGTAAAAATAAAAGCTAGTTTGGTACTTGTGAATTGCAGTGAGTAAGTTTATTGAGAAAGGAAAACAAAATTTGTACTTGTAAGTCTGTGTAGAATTTCTTTGAACAAGTGACAGCAAATTATTAATTTGATAAATTTAAGGCTAGCAGTGCTAGCTTGCTAGTGTAGAGATGTTCCAAAATTGAGAATTGCTACAAGAGGCTGCACTAAGCCCTGCTAATCTCTGGATAATAATATGGATTTTTTATAGTTTTCTCGGGTTTTGATTTTTTTTTCTTTTTCTTGAAGTTACAGGGTTGGGTTTTCGGTCACCATTGTACGGTTGGGTATGATCTGTCCCAGAAACAACACTTGGCATTCCTACTTGTTGCCTTATCTTTCTAATTTCATTTATATTTGATGATTCCCTCATTGATCAGAAGTTAAGGATCTTCAGCAGCTGAAATACATGGATAAAGAGGAAGCCACACAAGTCCCCAGAAGAACAACCAGGTCTTCAGCTTCATATTCAGCATCCACTTCAAATAATGTACCTGCAGCAAAAGTAAATAGCCTTGAACCTCTAACAATTAATGATCTTTTAGTTGGAGGAGACCCCTTTAGCCTAGATGATATAATTTGTAGTTTTCCCGGTAGAAATAGCCAGATTCTAGAGATTGTGCGGCTTTTGGGACCTTTGAATTCGCCAATACTTCCTTTGTTTGTGTATGGAGGTGCTTCCACTGGAAAAACCAGTATCATTCTTCAATTATTCAGGCATCTCAACAGGCCTCTTGTTTACTCTAGTTGTAGGACGTGTTATAATCAGCGTATCTTGTTTGAATCTATTATAAATCAATTACTTCTCCATAGGAAAAATGGTGCCAATGGTTATTTGAGTGCAAAGCGCTGTGAAAGACCATCTGATTTTGTCAATTTTCTTCGGGAAGCATTGACCAATGTTATAAACAATCTCAAGGAGAAGTCAAATAAGATGGTTCAAAGGGGAATTGGAAATATGATCTACTTGGTGTTTGACAATTTTCAGCTTGTTAGGGAGTGGGATAAGAGCTCTACTATATTGCCCTTACTGTTTAATCTCCATGATCTGCTAAAGATGCCTGAGGTGGGTGTGATTTTCATCAGCAGTACTTCCCCAGATACCTTTTACTCTAACATGGGTTATGTGGAGCCTATCCCCATTTACTTTCCTGATTACACAGAAGGTGATATTCGTCAAATATTGTTGAGAAACCAAGCAAACCAGAAGCTATATTCCTCATTTCTGGAGTAAGACATTTTTATCCCTATATCAGTGTCCGTTTTCATCTTTACATAATCTCATATGGTGAAGACTTTTGTTTCTTTTCATGCAGTGTAGCTCTGAGGCCTTTTTGTAGAATTACTAGGCAGGTTGATGAATTATCTACTGCCTTCAGGCCACTATATGAAAAATATTGTGAACCTTTAAGTGATAAGGGAGTTGTTCCTGGTGAAGACATGAAGCGAAGATTATTCAGTCACATCAAGCCTCGTATTGCCTCCGCTATGAATGAGATATTTAAGGTTTCATCTCTTCCTTCAACTGAAGTTGAGACCTGTAAAGAGACAAAGCGGAAGGGGATTCCCAAGAAATTGGAACAATCTGAAGAAATTGGCGAGCTAGATTTTCATATGTCTACTAGTGCAAAGTATCTTCTTATTTCAGCTTTTCTTGCCTCCAGAAATCCAGCTACTCTTGATGCTTCACTTTTTGACTCCAAAGGTGGTTCTGACAACCGAAAACGAAAGAGGAAGTAAGTATGGTGATTTAATACGTTATGATTTTTTTTCTTGAGTTTAGTACTCAGGTTATATTCTTTACTATTTCTTCTTATTATTGTGAATGAAGCCTTTTCTTGCATTTTTGAAACTTGTTTTCCTTTTTATTAGTGTCTTTGTAGGAATTATTTATTAAAATTCTTACTATTTTGTCTGATTGGATATTTTATTCTTTTGTAGTTGATCTTAAAAATTCGGGGTGTGCCCATAATACATTTTTGCTTTCATTTTATCTCTTTTTATTGAGTACTGCTTGTTTAATAATGTTGTCTGATTTATGTTTTTTCATGCATAGGGCCTCTGCGAAAGAGCTGGAAAAGAAGGAAAGTTTAGAAGAGGAACTACTAATGAAAGGACCTGGAACTTTCCCATTGGAGAGGTTGTTAGCCATCTTTCAATGTCTTGTATCAGTTGCAGAAGAGCCCTCTGATGAGGAAGAACAAAACAATGATGGATTAGGATTTCAAGGTGGCAACGGTGGACTGATGTCCGGTGTTCTTTTTCAGTTATCCAGTCTCTGCAATGCTAATTTTATATTCAAAGGAAGAAGCTGTCCATTAGAAGGCTCAACTCGGTATCGATCAACTATATCTGAAGACTTGGTTTTGAAGGTAACATCTCTGTCTCACTTAATAATACTCCCACCAAATTCTTTGGTAATGTTTATATAAGGAGATTTAAAATATGGGATTAATGTTTATCCTGCAAGCATAAGATAATTTTATTTCTACACACATGGGAATTGGTGGGGTTTATTTTTTCTTTTTCACAGGATCCCATCCATTCCTACGTGTGTGTGCAGAATATAAAGTTATTTCATGTTTGCCAGAGAAACATCAAACCCTTAATATATATATATATATATATAGAGAGAGAGAGAGAGAGAGAGAGAGAGAGCAAAGAATAATACTTTCAATATTGTTAAGCAGGTTGCAAGGAGCCTTAAGTTCCCGTTATCAAAGTATTTGTATAGAGGTTAGTAATCTTTGACATTGACGCTTCACAAAGCTTGGATTGTCAAGTTTTTACTGATAGATCTACCAAGAGTGTATACAAGCTCTACTGCAGTCTACAGTTATCAACTTGGAATTGCTGGAATCCCCTAAGAATGCTTGAAATCAAAACCAATGGTAGAATGGATAATTTTGGCGGTTGCAGTTCATTGGATGGATGGGCTGAGTATTTTCTAATGGACATTTGCGTTATTAGGGTTTGGTTTGTTGCTCCTTGTCTTCAATATGGCTCCAAAAAGCTTTTGTAATATTGTGGATTGAAAATCATATTGCGCTTAGCTGACATAAAATTGTACTATGGCACAAAATTTGTGTTATTTCAAATTTCATGTTAACAGTGTTGATGTCCTAAAAGGAATGCCCAATGTTTGATGGAAGGTTAATAGTGGGAATAGAAAGTTCTTGCTGATATATCCTCCTGGTATTATGTTTGTCATTCTGTATATTGAGTTGTTTGGAAACATTACAAAGTTTTTAACTTAAATATGTTTTCTGTGCTTCACCGATGAAGAACAATATAACGGGGCATTTGGTAATAGATTTCTTTCAGGGTGTGTTTGGTACAAGAGAATTTTTTTGGTATCCGGAAATCACGATGACTGGGAATATATAAGAAATTGAGTTTACCTGGAATGTTATCAAAAAAGTGTTTGGTGGGCCAAAATATTACTGGGAATATTTGGTAAAGATTACCCGGAATGTCTCAAAAATAGTTGTTTTGCTTTCCCTTCACGTTGGAATCATGAATTATCATATTATTTTTGATAATTAGAATAGTAACTTTTCTTTGTAAATGACATTACCGGTAATTAAGGATACCCGGGAACTGAGTTTTGTTTACTTTTACCAAACATGGCAATTTACGTTTACCAAAGAAGGTTTACCAGGATTCTTGGAAAACTGAGGGTGGTAATTTTATTTACTTACATTTGGTACAAGATTTTTAAAATTTTTCCCGGGAATACGATTTTCTTGGAATTTTATTTTGTATAAAAGTTTCTAAAAATATCATCCAAGAAGTGGTATTCTTGGATTCCAATGGCATCAGGAAAATTAACCCAACGTTTTCGGAGATATTTTGTCCTATCAAATAATTTTTTGGTAATATTTTCAGGAAACTCATTTTCTCACCATATTTTCGGGAATTATGATTTTCGGATAAATTTTTTTTTCCTTTGCTAAACGTCCCCTAAATACCTTAATCTTTGAAATGATGTAGTCTTCAAAGTTCCCCAGTCTGGTTGTAGGATCCTTGTCTAATGCCTGATCAAATATGGTGCCTAGAGTATTATTATTATTATTGTCTTCCTTTCAAATTCTATAAAATTTCTGGTCTAATGTTAAAATCCTTCCAGATGAATTTCTTTAAACGAAAATTCACAATCTTTAGCAGTCCAGTTGCCGGGCTTAATTGTGAAATTTCTGTAAGAAATTTCTTGAAGACACTTGTATGCATGACAATGGAAGATACCATAACATGTTGAATCAAAAGTAAATGCCAAAATTAGATATACCAATTCCTTTGTTATTGAGGTCTAATTAAAAAAAAGTGAGTAATCTAATTTCCAGCTAGGTATCATGAGGCTGAGTTACTCAAATAACATGCAGTTTAAGCATGAGTATGGTTATCTATTGTTTTAGCTATACACAGGTAGACAATAATGGAGCAAATGTCTAGTGATAATTAAAGACATGCACTTTGGGACTTGGAGCTAAGTCGAGTTAACTATATTAACAATGAGTTTTATTAATCTCTTTCCACGTAAGATAGTTATCTTATGTGGTAGAGAGAAAATAGATGGGTCCCACCATTACAAGAAAAAAGAAAAAAGTGGGGTGCGAAAATCGAAGTGAGAGAAAATGAGATAAGTTACCTCATGTAAAAGGAGAATAATATTTCCCATTAACAATTGTCAGGGCTTGAGAAATGGGGTGCAATTTAATTAGGTAAATATCAAAATTTAGAAATAGGTTTCGATGAATTATTGTAGAATGGTAGAATATATTCTATTCTTATACTTTGAATTAAATTTGACTCATTATTTATCATATACAGATATCTGAATTGGGGTCGTCAGCTTTTTCATCCTTTTGAAATTTCTCTCATTTAATTGCTCAAAATTATTATATTTAAATTTGCACTGATTTAAATATTTTTTTTTTATATAACTCAATTCACCTCTTATCCTTAATATTTGATTTTTTTTTTTTTGATCATTTATTAAGTCCAACAAATTTTGTAGGATCAGGTTAATGAATCACAAAACCATATCTTATCGGGTAAGCCCAATCTACTAAATATTTTGGTCATTGATGTCTAGCCCATTTCATACACATTGACCCGACTCAAAATCAAGACTATGGCCCACGGGTTTTTGTGGATATAATAACATAAAAATCACATGGCACTACAGATTAAGATTATAGAGTCCACAGCCCAACACAAGGAATGCACCAAAACCTAATTGGGCTCACGTCTATACGGCGTCGTTTAATTTCCCATCCTCCTCACTATTAAACAACTGAAAATTTATGTAACAAAAAAAAAAAAGAAACTGAAAATTTTGTCAAAAAAATAAAATAAATAAATAAACTCTCAATTTTCCTTTTTTTTTTTTTTTTCTTTCTTTCTTTTTTTCTCATCGAAATCAAAATCTCTTTCTCTGCATTTCTCTGTGCTATTCATTCTATCTATCCATTTTATGTTCATCGCCGACAACCGCCAATTCCTTTTCATTTCGGAGCAAATCCCTCTCTTTCTGTTTCGCTGTGTTGTCAGGTACTTCACGCTCAACCCTCCTTTTCTTCTTTCTCATCATATATATATGCAAACAACGCATGGAGCAATAATGCAACCAAATGTTTAATATTTCCACCCCCATTTCTTAGTGTTATTTTTTTTAACCTAAGTTCGTGGTAAATAATCGTGGGTTGTCTTCAAAATGTGTTTTTTAAATATGCTAGCTTATAAAAAAAAAAATTGTTATTGAAGTTATTTTGGTTTAGCTTGCTGGAAATGATGATACAAACAAAGATGATGCTAATGATATTTATGTTGCCATAAAAATGATAAAATTTAACTTATTTTCCACTCTGCAATGACTATTGTTGAGGGGAGGGGGGTTGGTTATGGATGATTGTAGTATTATGGGAATACTTGGTGTGATGGGGAAGTACTTCTGTTTACTCCCTGATTGGCTAACAAGCAACCCTAAATTTTTTCTATCATTTTTTTTTTTATTTTTGAGAAAATTAAGGGAAAAAAAATCACTAGTTTTTTAGCTTAGTGGAAACTCAAGTTGATATGTTTAATCCCTCTCTCTCTTTCGCTTATGTGTGTGTGTGAATTTAACGTAATATAATTGGATAATGCCAAGTAAAAATGAAAGCTAGTTTGGTACTTGTGAAAGGAAAACAAAATTTGTACTTGCAAGTCTCTGTTGAATTTTTTTTAACAAGTGACAGAAAATTATTAATTTGATAAATTTAAGTCTAGCTTGCTAGTGTAGAGATGTTCCAAAGTTGAGAATTGCTGCAAGAGGCTGCATTAAGCCCTGCTAATCTCTGGATGTGTATATTAGCAAATGCTGTGTAAAAAAACCACTCCTCATTAAACCCCGACTAGCAAAGGTGGGGTAAGGGCAGTTCTTGTACGCAACTTTACCCTTGCATAATTGTAAAGAGGCTCTTTTCCGAATTCGAACCTGTGACCTCTCAGTCATAAAGGAACAACTTTACCACTGCTCCAGATTCGCCCCCTTTGAGAAGTGAAAGTACTATTTAAGAATTTTTTTCATAAAACAAGGAAAATTCCAAGGATATTTCAGTTGCAAATAGATATAAATAGCTTATAATGTAATGCTTGATTAGTTGTTCAAAAGAGCCTAAATGAAAATTAGGCAATTATTGCTAAAATCATGATATTATTTACATGTTGGCGTATTCTCCACCTAATGATAGAGGAAGAGAAAGCTGTGGGTTTAAACTCAGTATTTTCTGGATATGATTTATCAGTTATAAAAATGTAATTAACATAAATCAATGTCGTAGAGGTAAGGAGTTATACTATTTTCAATCCTCTTTGAAGTCTTGTGTCGCTATCACCTGCAAGTGACAAACTTAATGCTCGGTGGGAACCTTTAAATGTAGGAGGGGCATTTTATGTATAAGTGACAATGTTGACTGTACTTCTTATGAAGGTTTGTATATACGAGTTTGAGTATGGTATGTTGCCCAAATAATTTTTGTATGCGTTGGGTGCATTTGCACACTTACAATGCGTTGACAAGCTTCCCTTGATCCAAGAGTTAACAGTGTATTTAGTTGGCATGACCTTTTTTAATAAACTAATTAAAATTCCCTCACATGTAGACTCTCCATCATTGTTGGAAGGGATAGGATATTATGCCTACCTTTTTTCATACCTACTTTACCTACTCTTCTTCAACTTCGTTAGATCAGAATCTCAAGAGGAGAGAGGAAAGGTGAAGGTTAGTTGAGATTCTGATCTGACGGTGTTTGAGAGGAATAGTTAGAGTAGGCATGAAAAAGAATAGGCATAATATCCTATCCTTTGTTGGAATTGATAGCGATGGACTATTCTTCTCAGCAGTTACAAATAGACATTTCTACTATTATTTTATGCTGTGATTCTTATAGATATTGAGGATTGCATTTCGCTTATGTGTTGAGTCTGTTCAGTTTGATCTAGATGTGTCTTTACTGTTTCAAATATACATGCATTCAACTATGTGTATGTAAAGAAGTATTGATAATTTTCTGTAGATATAGACTTGAGTAGCAATAAGTGCCTCTTCCCCCCCCCCCCCCCCCCCTCTGTGTGTGTGTGTGTGTGTATAAAATATTAAGATAATGTAGAAAATTTACCATTTGTGCTACTTCTTTGCTGTCAATATATGTAGCATATATAGAAACACACAATCTTAATAAGTGTTCATCCTTAATTTTCTAGTAGTATATATTTGCCTGCACTCCATTTCTTTGATGGCATTTGCTGCACATAGTAACTTCATATCCTTAACTTTACAGCTGTCTCTTGGAATTCGGAAGGTGCTGGATTATTCTCCATTCTGCTCTTTTGCAAGTTTACACCTGTTCTGCTTTGTGTTATAGAGATTTGTGTATCACTGCAATTACTTTCATGGACAATGTGCATTTGAGTAATGTTGCTGGAGCAACGTAATCCTGATCGCAGAAGTGCTTTTATAAGTGGATCTAATATCTGCTTGTCTGGACTTGAAAATTTAAATTTCCACCTCAGTAAATATTGCTTGCCCCGCAAAGAGGCTTCCAGTATCAACAGATTTTACTTTTCAAATTGGTTTTAAGATGTCAGAAATTGACATGGCAGTTATTAAACCTGAGGTATGATACCTTTTCGTCAAAGTGGTTTTCTTTTTAATCCATCTAGTTCACAATTGCACTGCTTTTTGAGTTTCTTTTTCTTTATCTCATTTTTGCTTTGAAGTCATACTAAATTTATTCCTTTAATCTTTATTCTTGAAGGATGCATTCTGTTCTATATGGTTCAGTAGTCCATTAATAGTAATCTCTGTTACTTTATTTACATTACTCAATTTCAAATAAGTTGAATAAATTTAGTTTTGTCTTGAACCATATGTGTTATTATGTTCTCCTACAATGTTTATTTTTTCCCCTCAGAAGTCAGAGAGATTTTTGAAACTATGGACGATTAAGTCAGTGTTTTGCTGACATTTAAAACTTGAGAATTTTAATTATTAGACAAGAATATGAAGTGTCTTGAGTTTCATCTTTAGTGTTGAAATGGATATTGGGTCTAGTTGTACCTTAATCTCTAAGGATTGGGATTATAGTCTAAAGATCATATATTCAAAATTGGTTGTGTGTGCATGTGTCTGTCATGCACAAACTCTACCAAAAGTTTAAGACGTATGTGTAAAGAACCTTGGGATACACCACCCCAAAAGCTAGCTCAAAGGGTGGGAGTGTCCAAGGCCTTATAAATTCCACATTAGTTGCTCATACAACCAATGTGGGATTATATATCTCAACACGTCCCCTCACTCGAGAGCCCATTGGGCTTGAAGAGTGGACAATGCAACAGGCCCAGCCTACCTGTGTTAAGAAACGTCACAAGAGAAAGTGGGGGGCGGCGAGGCTCTGATACCATGTAAAGAACCTTGGGATACACCACCCCAAAAGCTAGCTCAAAGGGTGGGAGTGTCCAAGGCCTTATAAACTTCACATTAGTTGCTCATACAATTAATGTAGGACTATATATCTCAACAGTATGTAAAGACACATAAATGGTTTTATCTATAGCTAACACGTCCCCTTATGCAAGAGTCCTATGGACTTAAGGCGTGGACAATGCATAGACCTACCTACCTCGGGCAGAAATTCAACTCTTAATTAGAAAAATGGGGTTGACAAGCATCGAATTCTAAACCACTTGGTTATAGAGGCTCTAATACCATGTTAAGAACAACCTCTACCTAAAGCTTTAGCCGTTGTGTAAAGTCACATAAATGACCTTATATTACATCTTTAAAAGACCCAATAATGAAATAACAAGAAATTTGAGTGGTGATTCTTGATGTATACATGTAGATATTGGAGCTTTGATTTTTATCCTCCTTGCTAGTTCTTATCACTCATTGATATTAGCTCTGACAATGCTCAGGAGCAAGACTCCTTATCTCAAAATTTTAAATTTCGCCTTACTTTCCAAGAATTTCTGTTTGTCTGTCTGTCTCAAGGTTGTCAAGATCGAGATCTTACTTAAGATTGGAAGGGGGTAAAAAGATCGTAAATCGTGGGATCCACACTGATTGTAAGATCCTACATTTTTAATTTTAATTATAAAAAATAATATTTATACATATAAAAAAATAAGCATTAAGCAAAATTGGCCGCAAACACAGCAGGACTATTTCAATTTCAACGTAACCCTATTAAAAATAGGAGAATATAGGAGCAATATGTAAATGTATTATATAATACAGTGGCACCCTATGAAGCACCGATACGTGCTAAAAAAAAGTTTCTACGTATCCGATACGCATCCTGAACGGATGCGCGTCCCAGACCGATTTTTATGTATCAGCTTGGTCAACAAATTCGATTCAGTCAAATGGCAGGTTTGTGAATTTTAAAAAACTGAAGGGTGAAGATTTTGGCCAAAAAAATACCCTAAATCCAAATCTGACTCCCTTCTATACTCACCTCACCTCGAACGTCTGCCTCCGAAATCGAAATCGCTGAGAGTGAGAGCTCACTTCTGCGTTCTGCCAACTGGCGTCTTCCTCGTCTCTGCCATCTACCTCTCCTCTGCCATCTCTGCCGTCTTCCAACTCATTTTTGCAGACTCACGTCTGCCGTCTTCCTCTCCTCGACGTTGTTCTTCCTTCTTTCCTCTCCTCGCGTGACTGCGTCTGCGTCTCTCTCTCTTTCGGTTTGTCTTTATTCTTTAACCTCATTTTTTCTTTTCTTTTTTATCTTTCATTAATATTGTTACCAAAATAAAAATAAGAGCATTAATAATGTCGGTTTGTCTTTTTTTTCTTTTTTGTCATGCCTTTGTCTCTCCTTTTTTTTTTGCTGACAGTGAACAAAAATTGTCCATATTGGTTTAATAATTCTATCTTGGTTTAATAATTATTCTCTTGGTTAATTTGTTGTGCCTTTGTCTCTTGTCCATATTCAGCAAGCCATTTATCGTGCCTTTGTCTCTTCCGTTTCTTTTTTTTTTTTTTTTTTGCTATTTCATTGTCCATATTAATTTGTAATTAATTTTGCTTCTGATAATTTTTAGTAGCACTCCACATCCACACACTAGTTGAGGTATTTATCAATTTTGTATGGAAAATCTATTATTTTTGCTTATGATTTTTCTTTTATTATTTTTTGTTAAATTGAAATACACTCTATATTAAAAATATTATTTAATACTAAGACGTATCGGAACGTATCGAAATATTAGTATTTTTGAAGTAACGTATCGATGTTACGTGTGGGGAACGTATCGAAAACGCCGTATCGGTATCGGTGCTTCATAGGTGGCACCATTTATTGTGTTTTTCTTCTAACATTGGATCATGTGCATTTTGTAAATGTATTATTTTAAAAAATTAAGCACAGAAGACCCATGACAGAAAAGTGCAGAATTATGATTTAATATTTAAGCAAACAAAAAGATAGAAAGTGCAGACAACATTTAACAAAAAATTATCCATTCAAACTTCAAATAAATTTCTTTTAAAGTAAAAAGAAAGAAATGATTTAAATGTTCACTTCTGCCTACTTCTTTGAAGACTAAGAAACGCAATGCAGAAGCAAAACGCAAGAAGGACAAAGTGAGACCCAAACCCAAATCTGTTGCTGTTGGAGAAGGAGAGGAGAAGAAGAGCAAGAGGTGAAGCCTTAAAGACCGATTTGCGAGAGAGAATGCGGAGAAGGCAGTCACCGGTAAGAATGAGGTGAAAAAATGGAGTTAGGGTTTATGAATTAGGATGGTTTGTGATTTAGGTCGTCGGTAATTTTTCTCGATCATGGGTTTCACATCTGGATCTAGGTGTTTTTCATAATCGTTAGAACGGTGGGATCGAATGATCCCACCAATTTTACGTTTTCTAGCATCAATCTTGTCCTCTCTGAAAGTATAGCTATCTCATTTACGATCTGACGCGTTGGCGGTAGAAATATTGTAGGATCGTTCGATCCTACGATTTTTCGTGCGATCTTGATAACATTGGTCTGTTTGTCTCTCTCATGCATGCCCACCTTGAATTCTTGAATAGGCTCACTCTAGTCTCTTTGATAGCATTCATAGATAAACTAAATTGATTTATTTTGTTTTATTTTTTTGTAATTGTTCCTACTGTTGTGGGGAAATGGAAACTCATCTGAATAAGGCCTATAAAAATTTCTTTGATTGTTTTATATCTTTCTTCCTTATCTGGAAAGACAAAACTATTGCATATGAACCTAGGAAAATGTCTCTACTTTAGAATTAAGACCTTGCTTCGCTCGCCTTTTACATTGAACTTAAACTATACTGGTATTAATTTTCATTTTCAGATGATGAAGCCCTATATCTGGCTTCAGACTTCAGATGGTTCAATCCAACAAGTGGAACAAGAAATTGCAATGTCTTGCCCTCAGATTTGTCAAGAAATAATGCAAAAAGGCATGGGATCTTCCAAGAATAATGCAATATGTCTTCCTCAACGGGTCAGCCCTGCGATGTTGAGCTTAATTCTTGATTATTGTCGTTTTCATCAAGTACAAGGACGCTCAAACAAGGTTCTACCCCTTTCTTTAATGCTTTTACATTTTTATTATCTTTATACAAGACATTTTAAGGTTGAACAACAATGAATCAACATCAACAACACCTTTATCGCAAATTAATTGGGGTCGGTGGTAGATAATTTGACTTGGAAGTTATTCTTTGTATAGGAACGGAAGTCTTATGATGAGAAATTCATTAAGATGGACACAAAGCGGCTCTGTGAGTTGACATCTGCTGCGGACAGTCTTCAGTTGAAGCCATTGGTTGATCTTACAAGTCGTGCGCTTGCTCGAATAATAGAAGGAAAATCTCCAGAGGAGATACGTGAGATATTTCATTTGCCTGATGATCTTACAGAGGTGTCTGGTGCTTGTGAGAACACTTTATGCCAATTATGTCTTCTTTCATTTTTCAATTTTCATTTTTCACCCTTGCTTCTGATCCAGGAAGAGAAGTTGGAACCCTTGAAAAACACTACTGATGACCCAAGGATCAGGCTTTTGAACCGTTTGTATGCCAAAAAGAGGAAAGAACTAAAAGAGCGTGAGAGGTTAAAGGTGCTACAGTGTTGTTTATTTATTGTTGTCATATTACTGTATATATCACATTGTCCAATGTAAAATTTCTTAATTAGATATTTTTAAATGAATTGAATTTTTGCCCTATGTATTCTTGCATCTCTTTTTGTCTTAAATTGTAGATTGTTGACTTTAATAAGATTTGGCCCCTCACATGTTTCAGAATGTTGAAGTTGAAGGAGAGCATGTAGATGAACGTTCAGTTGATGACCTTTTGTCTTTTATTAATGGAAATGATGAAGGTAAATTCAGCATTTTTTATCACATTTTTTCATTGAGTTTACTTCCTTATTTTCTTTCTGTAGATTGATGAAATGTGTACCAGCTCATCCCTAATTGAAGTCTTTCTATTTAATATTACCTTTGACCACATGAAATCATTCTTCAGAGCCCACAAGATGAGCCTACCAGTCGATTTGTGGCCATGATCACAATGTCAAAATTAGTATTACTTACATCGTTTGACCATGTAATTCTAGATACTAGTATTGACAGACAACTGTGCAGTATAGGTTTTCAATAATTAAAGATGATGATCTAAAATTGAGAGAACAATTAGCAGCATTTTGATGCAGTCCTTTTAAGAATTAACAGAAATATCAGAAGCTATAAAAAGAGAGAAGAAGCTGAAGTGATGAAGAGCCAAGTGATTTATTAATATTGCAGTCCCTTCCACTGAGCACTCTCAGTAAAATACAAGAAGTAATTAACAATCCCCGGAACTGGGGAACCCCCCCCCCCCCCCTTATACAATAACCACCAATGGTTCATTAAGTCCCCTTTACACTAACTAACTTTTTTGTCTTCTATGGTACACTTCCATATTCTCGATCTTTCTAAAGTATCTCCTAATTTTCTGTCTGTTACACTTTTTTAGTAGATACTGGTATCCACCAAATTTAGGACTGACTAGTTGAAATAACCCACTCAAGGCCCGTGCTAACATCTGTTCCCTTTTCTATATTGCAAACATTTTTCTTAAAATATATTTAAAATCAATTGATGTGTGAGGAATACTTCAATTTGCCTGTGAAATCTAACTGCTAATTTCATGTTGTATAAAACGTGTGAATATGTTGTAATTAAGTTATGTTTCCAGATCATTTGTTTACAAAGAAGCCGCATAGGTTAAATCTTTTAGTTATACAATCATTCATTGAGTGAGTGTATATTTAATTATTTTTGCATTTGCTTACGGTGTAGTAAAAATCATACCACAAAGTCTTTAGACATTAAAGTTCATGGCTGCCATTTAAGTAGGTATTAAAATCAATATAGGATTTTGGGTCTGTCTTGAGTTAACTTATTTGGGGATCTCCAAATGACGCTCATCAATCCATTTTCTTACCTGTTGCACAAGCATCACTGGTTTTTGTCTCATGGAAAATTCTGGCCTGCCATTAGATCCATAGAATTGCAGAAGAGTTTAGGGGGCGGCAAATAGAAAAAGAAGCCATTTATCTGGGAATTCATTAACGGAGGAAAATAAAAAAGAAAAGGAGCACAGTCAAGAGAGAGTGAGGAAAGAGATCAAGATTTGATCTGCCAAAAAATTAAAGAAAACTCAAATAGTGACAGAATAATCTGCCTGACCACCGTAATTGTCTAGCTGTGATAAACGTACCTTTCTTATAAACTGAAAGCAGTAGACCCTGTATAGTTGTTTATTCTTTATTGGTTATTTTCATCAGGTTCCTCTTTATCTTAGAAGTTTATAGGCACAAACTTGGTGCTGGATTTCTACAAGTGTAGAACAGAATATAGGCCAGTTCTGTTAAAAATTATGATTTGTCTTCAAATGAAAAATATTATGTTTTAATTGTTTATCTTCAGAACATGTTTATTTTAAATTTTTGAGTTATGTTTTAGGAATATATCATATAATACAGTTTTAAGTAAAATAAGGAGGATAAAGACAGAGAATAAATTATATGACAGGGAAGATATGAACTTGATGAGGAATGAGAGCTTGAAAATTGACTATAGGTCCTGACATGACAATTGTATGATATATTTTTCACTGAACCTAGTGTGTCACTATGCCTATATCATTGTTCTTGATAATTTTTGTTACTCGTGCATCTTGCAGCCTTTACTTCTTGTTTCATTTTAAAACTTTTGTAATTTTTTCGGTTAGGAATTGTTTGGAGAGCTGTATATTTTTATTTTCCGGTTACTTCCTCTGAATGACTAAATAATGGTGAAGAATTTCATCACAGATCCAAAGGGAAGCAAAACTTCTAAGAATAAAAAGAAGAACAGAAGAAAAAAGGAGCAACAGAAGAGCTCTTCTTTGAAGGAAGCTTCTGAACTAAACAAGAAGGTTTTCATAAATATTCTTTTTTTTTTTTTGAATGCACAAAGTCCGTTATTTATCATATAAATTCTAAATCTTTATTGCCTTTTTTGTTGATAGGATTTAGATGGTCATAATACGAGACACCGAAGTGCCGAAGCTGATGGAATTGCCGAGACCTCAAATTCATATACAGAAGATGACACTTTTTCTCATAAAGAGTTTGATGATGGAGATCTAGATGATGAGATTGATCCTGCACTAAAGGAAAAAATTGACAGGTGGGCTACGCTCTAAGTGCACTGTTTACACTATATTGTTTCTAAAATCTAATTTTTATTTTCTTTTATGGATGGCTACCATTATCTTTAGCATAGTTGCAGTGGCAGGTCACTAGCTTTTCTTCTCATTAGTGGTCAGTAGCGTTGCTGAATGTATTTTATATGGAGTATAGCATATGCAGAGGACAAGGCATCAGAATGATTGAACTCTATCCTTCTACAAATTGTACTTTTTGAGTCATCTATTGCTGGTTGAATATGGCATGAAGTGCTTGCGTTCATGTGTTTATCACAAAGAGGGAGATATTGACAATGCCAAATTAAATTTGGTTGGATTTGGACTTCACAAGTTTTTTTTTTAAAATCTTGGTCCTTTCGGGAGGAGAGTGATAAATTTAGTAATATTTGTATCCCATACCAATCTAGCAATAGAATTTTCATGATTCTGAACTTTGTAAAACTTTTGGATGGGTAATGCGATTGGTTTTGATCTGTGTTTATGCATGCCTGTGTTCTAGAAAAATTTTAATCTAGCTATATTACTTCTGGGTTCCTGGTTCATTGTAACATTTGTCCATATACATAATGTAATAAGGTTTGCTTACTTGCTTAGCATGACAACTATTTTTTCCCCTTTATCAATGTTATGATGATCGTTGAATTGCCCCCTTAACTTCTCTCGTTGGTTTACAAGGAACTAAATTTATGACTTCTACCGACCTTACTCACTGGAGCTAACCCCGAGTGGCAATATTCATGACATTCTTGTTAATTGCCTTCTGCATGTTGTATCAAAGATATCAGTTGGATACAAAAATATGTTTGTATGATGGTTATATAATGTGTGCTCTTAAGATGATACCAGTTGGATACAAAAATATATTTGTATTATGGTTACATAATGTGCTCTTAAGATGATAAAGATGAAATCTTTTTTGCTTGATACCTTTGATGTAGGGAAGTGGAAGATTTTGCCCGCCGATTGAATTCTGACTGGCCAGAGAGGATGCAAGAATTTTTATTGTCAGGGCAAGAAAGGAAGACAATGCATCTTACTTCCAATGGGAATGGTTTCCTAAGGCGAAATACGTGTATGCTTTTTCCCTTTGTTTTAAGTGATTCTACTTACCCGTCATTTGATGCTTGCTAGTGGAACTTCTTAATTTTTTTGTAAAATGTTTCTTTCCACTTTTCCCCCTTTTTATATTGCAACTGAAAAACTTATTTCTATAATAGATATTCCTTTCATTCAATTTGCTTTCCTTTTCAAATTTAGTTCTTTCTCATTCTAGTTTCTTTTAGCTTCTGCATTTTTGTCTGATAGTTGATGACATGGTTTCAATTTTATTTTTTTTGTTTACTCAAACTTATTTCTTTTGTTATTTACTTTATATGTATTAGTTTGTTGGGATACCTAGTGCGAGGTAGTCAAAATCAAGATCCTACTTAGGATCAGAAGGGGGAGGGAAACACGTAAATTTTGTGATCATAACGCAAATCATAAGATTCTACCTAGGATACAAACTTATGTTCAAACAAGTATATGATATAAAATAACATTAATAAGAAAAATAACCTTTAAATCACTACTAAAATTTAATTAAACTTAAATTCAAATTGAATAAGAAAGGTCACATATAACTCATAAGTCACCAATTCACAACTTAAGCACAGAGAGGCAGAACAGTGTAATAGGATCATAGAGCCGAGCAGTAGAATACTGCTGGCCTGCCTAAACAGCAGCAAGCAAAAGAAAGAGGTGCCAAAACAGCAGTAGTAAAAGAGAAGTAGAGGCATTGAAACAGTCGAAACTCAAAACAACAGCAGCAGTACAATAGAGGAGATGATAGGGTGACAGAACTGGAACAGATTTTAGAAGATTTCTGGGGAAACAGATGAGAATTGCATTGATAGGAGTAGAAAGAATGATTACAGCGGCTGATACCCAGGAGTTTGAGAGTCTGGCTTTTCCCTCACACTCAATCCCTCAATGAACTCTCTTCTCCATCCTGTTTTTCCTTATATCCTACCTAGTGACTATTTAGAGAACATCCGCAAATATTAGGAGATTCTAACTACTAAATCCAACAATATCCCTTAATATCAAGTAACTTTATCCAATATACCCAACAATATCAATAAATATCAAGTAACTCTATCTACTCTATCTAACAATATTAATTGGTATCAGGTAACAATATCAATTAACATCAAGTAACTCTATCTAATATATCTAACAATACCAATTAACTCTAACTATGGTTACTAATAGATCCTGCATCATTGGGCTCATCCTTATTTCTTCTCACATTCACCTTCCTAATTGGAGGCCTGCTACAAACATAGGGCTTCAAAATGAAAAGCTTCTAAATGAAATGGGTCTTAAAAATCGGGTAAGAGTAGGGTTTTTACACTCGGTGGGCATGGGTTTTTTTGTAGAATCGGGGATCATCACGGTCCTAGGATCTTGCTCTATGGTCCCACTTGATCTCACCAAAAAAATAGTAAGATCTTGTGATCTCACTAGGAAGATGGATTTTGACTACCTTGCTTCTGTGTGGAGTGACAATTGCATCTAACCATATCATATATATACTTGTAGAACCATTATGTGCTATTATTGCCAGAGAAACCTTTCTTCTAGTATTACCTCTTAACTTGACATGATGAATTTGTAATCTATGACTCAGGTTTTATCTCCTCGAATAGTGCTTGAATTTATTCAGTGTGTAACATGCTGTAAAATTTATTCAGTGATCAATTTGGCACTTTCATATGATTATGGCTTCCCCATTTTTGATATAACAGGCTAAAAAAGTCTAGTATTTCATACTATTACAGTCATATTTATCGTTTCATCCACAACTCAATAACCATCTTTCTATGTACAGGACTGGAGTCAGAATGGAAATGAATGCTTACCTCTGAACTTGACAGATGAGTTAGGTAATTTCTGTCTCGGGTTTTATCTCCTTGAATAGTGCTTGAATTTATTTAGTGGGTCATTGAATTTGGCACTTTCATATGATTATGGTAGTCAAAATCGAGATCCTTCCTAGAATCGAAAGGTGGAGGAAATACGTAAACTATGTGATCATAACACAGATTGTAAGATCCTATCTAGGATACAAAATTATATTCAAACATATATGTACGCATTTAAAAGCAGCAACACACAGTAGAATAGCAGCAGAACAGAGTAGCAGCAAAACAACCAAACAGAAGAGTCTGAACCGGCTCTACTGTGGCCGAACCAGCCGAAGCAGCAGCAAAGGAGAAGAGATTAAAAACTAGCCGAAACAGAAGAGAAGTGGGATTCAGCACGACGGTGTTCAAGACGAAGAGAAAAGGGATGCAGCAGCAGGACAGTGGATTAGGGCTTCAAAATGAAGGGGAGTTCAAAACGGGTCATGAAAATCGGGTTCGGGTCTTGAAAGTTCAGTGGGTGTGGGTTTCAAATTTGGTTTCTTTGAGCACGGTAAGATTGTCCACGGTCCTATGATCTTACTCCACGGTCCCATCAAAAAGAGTTTCTGAAGGGATGTGTGTGTGTGTTGGGGGAATTGTAAGATCATGCGATCTCATTAGGAAGATCCTGATTTTGACTACCATGCTATTATTATGGCTTCTCTATTTTTGATATAACATGCTAAAAAAGTGAAGTATTTAATATCATTTCCGTCATATTTATCTTATCATCCACAACTCAATAAACATCTTTCTATGTTCAGGACTTGACTCAGAATGGAAATGAATCCTTACAAGCTCATCCAGATGGCCAATGGCTTGAACAATTTTGAGAGATGCTGACAAGCGCTAGAAAAGGGTTGCATGTCAGTTTTTATTTTTCCTATTTACTGTTTAGTTGTATTCTTTACAGTTCATTGTTGGTGCTTGGCCCAGGCGCAATTTGATGCTGGGGGCTGTCTCTTGTACTTATAAAGAAATAAAAAAAAAAATGGAGCTTGTATGGAACATATTTATCTTGTGCATTTGCCTTTGGTTTGTTTCCTATGAGTTTTGATTTATAGGCTTATTTGTACCTTTTGATTTATGTAATGTCAAGTAAAAGAGAAAAAGTTCAAGTTCGATCCATTGCTTGTATAAAGTTTACTGACACCAATACTTAATCTAGCAGCAACAAATCATCAAAGAGTTTGACTTTGAAGTAGTAGTTATCATAATCCATCTCTGAAGTGATATATTAATATGATTAAGTGATATTGTAAAAACATTACGCCATGGTAAATTGAAATTAAATCCAAAGAAAATTGGAGGGAAGAGAAATGAAAGATCAATGTCTTTGGACTTCGAGGCTAGTCCTGATACATAGATAATTCCTTTTCTATTCCCTCTAATTCCCTATCCCTAGATAGTTTTCCTGAATTTCTGTGAGTTTTATATGGATCCTTTGAAGGTGCTCTGATGTGTTGGTATCCGCTTGGAATCAGTTAAAGCTAAGGTGAAACCTGAGCCTGATTCAGTGCTGCAGGTGTATGTTATACATTGATAATTCATATGATGGAATAATATTCCAGAAAATAAAATTTAGCCAACTTCTAATTCACAATTAGGATATAAGTTTCAAATAATAATAATAATATTCATTATCATACAACTCAGGGTACTGGCTATGCTAAACAGCATCTTTAAGTGTTTCAATCCATCTTCAGTCTTATCTCCGTTGATTTGAAGTTCTCTGTGAATCTCAATTGGCTTCTTGCCATTTGCTTGACAAAGACTTCATTTTTGTTAGACCCTCATGGAAGCAAACTTGTAAAAGATAATCAATAATAAAAAAACCACCACCTTACGGCAAACCAGGAAATGGAATCTCTTAAATCACATGACCCCATATCATCTTCTATCAAATAAAAAAGATCTAATCTTACAATAAACAGTTCCATGTGTCCTTCGACATCTAACAGTTGGAGAATATCTCAAGTCATAGCTGCTAATTTAAGTACATGCTATAATATTTTGTTATGACAAAGTTACATAATCTCCTAAGATTTGCTATAAGTCTCCTGTAAACTAATACCTAACATACTATTCTGCTGGGGATTACTGGTTTGTTGATTGACTATCCTCTTGGATGTGAGGACAAGGCATTTCTGGTTTCCCTCTTGCCCATAAAATCTTGAGTTCACCTCTCTTCTTCCCCAATGACAAAAAGGTTCCTGCAATATACAGAAAAAAAAAGGTTTAAAAAACTTGTACTAGTTTTCACAAGTCATGCTGTAATCAAATATGACTCATGGACATGGTACAACAGTGGTGCATGGAAGGCCTCTATGTCAGGCTCCACAGGCAGGGAAGAATGGAAGTGAAGAAGAAACAGTTATAAGAAACATGGATATAAGACTTGCATTAGTTCAGCAAAGGCACCTTCAACAACCAATGGAACATGTTCAAATATTTCTTTTGCACAACAATCAGTTTTTGTGATTCAAATTTGAGTCTCATAATTTTACTAACCAAGTGTAAATGGGACTATATATAGCAAAGCTGGTTGACCATGCCCATCCATCAAGTTCAAAGCCACGTATGTGATAAGGAGACCTGCAGATCATAATTCAAGTGATATATGATGCATAGACCAAGCAAATAGTCACCTCCTCCAAACCCGAGGATCGGGCCGGCTGGTTTCAGCCTGAAAGTGAGCTGGCCCAATTTTGATCACAAAGTTAACAAGTCCAAACATTTTCAAGGAAAATTACTCTGTTGGCATACCTAAACCATAAGCAGTCATTGCCCACAAGAAGTATCCAGCCCGAAGGTTCTTCTTTGCCAACCAATCATACCTGTAAAGTTATCAACAGAACAATTGAGTTCATGAACCATTAACAAGACACAAAGCAGTCTCTTCATCTGTCTAAGACGTTTTTACAAGGACTTGTATTTTAAGACTATGAACATTAGTCGTCCAAGGAAGATGAATAGGAGATTTATACACAAGACTTTCAATTCAACCTTAGTGAAAATGCTACTAGAAGCCCTGGTAAGATTATGTCCCCAAAACCAATGATGCTGTAACCACCCCAAGGATCAAACAGACGTGGTATCTTGAGTAGCATGGGAATACCATCTTCTCCACTCCTATCACCTCGAGCTACCTGTAAGAAGTTAAAATGTTGCATTAATTCAAGGGGAAGAAAAGCATCATGTTTATAAGACCAAAAAGAAAATGTGTAAAGAATAGTAATGCAGGGAGATTTTTTCTGAAAACACTCACCACTATCATCACACTCTCATGGAACCACCATTTAGAGACAAACACCCAGAAGATGTCGTATAGGAAGGCACAACTGAGAAGAACAGTTCCAACCTTGTAGAGAAGCATGTATGCATCAGTTTCTTTGTTCATAATAAAAGGTCAGTGGTAAAAAGTAGTTCCATCTTCAATTGTTTCACTGATATATAGGCCCATTTATGCATCCCAAGCTTAAATTTCAAGAATATCAATAACAACCTATGTTGGAGATTGTGCCAAATACAAGCTCTTTAAAAACCAGAAATAGTAGGGGGGGGGGATGAAGTATGAATAATCAATCACCTTGAGATTTGGTATGCGGACAATCTGAAGAACTGTAATTATCAATGCAATACCCTGAATGACAGAAGATTTTTTTTGAAAAAAAGAAGATAAATATGTTATTAATTCATATTCTCAATTTATTGGAAGTTTGCAAGGTTGCCACTCAGCAAACTGAGTTCAGGTTGCAAGAAATCCTAAATAGAAAAACTTCAATTTCTAAGAGAAGCTATATCAAAAGGGAGCAAATTTGATAAAACAAAGTGAAAGTAACAGAACTATTCTTACAAGAATATCTTGACCAATCCAAGCAAATGATACATGTCTATAAACACCCCAAAGCACAGCAAACACTATGCAGAAGGGAGTAACAGCGAGTGTCAGATATGATACAGCTCCAAGGAAGGGTATTTTCACATATGTTTGTCCAGCATGTTCAAACCATCTGAAACTATAAACAACATGTTCTGTCAGTTCTGTACACCACCCAACATCTTTGTATCAATGTTGATAATTAGAAGCACAAGATATCTAACTCAACATGACCGCCACAAATGCAAACAGAAGTCAACAAATTAATTACCAAATTCTTGTCTCACCTAAGGGTTTGCCTATGAGGAAACAAGGATAAAAAATTTACCATGACAACAGAGCCACCAAGCAAGTTTGCAGTCCCTGAAAGAATACAAAGAATAAATATTCAGCTGTTACATCAACACAACAACATCATGCTGCAATCCTATGACTTTAGTTTGGTTGTGTGAACTGTGTTCATTTGCAAAATTCAAATTTCTTTAGCAATTTAGTTATTAAGTACACTTCCTTATTTAAATAAGAGCACAACATAATCATCAACCTCATGCATAGCATATGCTAAAGACTTGAACAGCAAGCACGAAATTATCACCTTAAATATTAACATGGGTTACATATACATGAGCACCGAACACCATATCATAGCCTCCAGAAGCACTTACATTGAGGCTATCCATAGAGTGAGAGACTATGATGAATTTTTAGTTGACCCGTTACGCATGGCCCAACCAATTAACAGATTGATTCAAGAAGTTTATAGTCAAATAAAATTATGGTCCAAAAAGCATGGCTTGCATGTTCAAAGAAACAACAATTTAAAATCTAACAGATTACAATCAAATTCAACTCCGAATGAAGCAACAAATTTGATTGTAATTTGTTAGACAAAAAAAGGAAAACAACAAATTTGACGAGATTTAAGATCTAAGATTTGGAATATATTTTGAATGATTTAATTATAGTTAATGATCTTTATTTTTAAAAAAAATATTTATTTTCAGAAGGTAACTATCATTATATTTATCTTTAGGATTTTAAATTTTGAATTGATTTATAATTGGTCTATAAAAAGGTGACTAAGACCCCTATTGTAGAGGTTGAATATTTTGTTATTTTGATAATAAAAATTGAGAATCAAATGGTTTCCCTTTTATCAAATCCTAACTTTTTGTTTAGCCGTTCTTCTATGAGCTTTCGGCATCATACTGCATACATATCCCAAATAGCAAAGTTCTAAATGTGATATTTCACCATTAATGATTTAATGTGCGTTAACCCCGATGACTGTGGAAGATATTAACTGATTTTCAATATAGGAGCAACTTAGATGTAACTCAAAGAAAGATAGAAATTATTGAAACCTGGACTCCTTCAAAAAGTATTCATTTCTCATTCCCTTCTTAATTTTCTATTCACACCAAAACCAAACCAAGGCCTAATGTCATTTTTTATATACAGACATAAATTTCATTAAGAAGAAAAGAGTACAGAGAAAGAGTATAAGACATCCTAACAAGAAAACTACAAAAGAAAACAACAAGAATCTACTAAATTGAGTCATGAAACAGGGCATACCAGTCTCTCTGCATGTCTAACAAAGAAACATCTTAACGAGACCATGAGCAGAATGTGGCACAGAAGATTAAAAAAATGATACATGAGCAGAATGTGTCTTAAAGATTCCAAATAATGATGAGAACATTATGGTAATATGCCTGATGTAATCAACAAGAATCAAGCTTGGAAAAATAATAACTTACCTCAACCCCACCAATGCAGAATAGAACCACCAAAACTTCAACAAACCAAGATGCCATGAATTTGTAAAGCATAAGCAAGAAACAAGAAGCGATAACAACAAATGAAATTGCTGCTGCAGTACTGATTTCCACATAAGCACTGGAACCAGCATTCTCTGTATTTACATATTCATCTGAAGCATCCTGCAAGTGTAAACGTTCTATATATCAGTAACTGGATTAATGAGTATTTAACTATGAGAAAAAAGAAGGGAAATCTTCCTTTATAAAGAACAAAATTAGTTCATATCGAAATTCGAAACGAGAATAAACTTTTATTTAAGGAAGTTTCCATCACAGGTCTACAAGGAACACAAGAGCTTTATTGTTTTAATGAGTTGGTTTGTCTTTTCAGCATTTCTTCTTTGTGTCTTTGTTAATTTTTGTATTCCTTCTTTCTTCACACTAATAATATTTCTTTTTCATTTGCATGAAAGGAAAACTAGGTAACCTTTAATAGCTTCTCCCGCTCAATGGAAGCCTCTCTAGCAGTCCACGCAGACCAATAAGAAGCACAGAGAATGGTACCGACGGCCATAAGCCATAAAAACACTTCTGCAACATCAACCATCGGACGCAGTGGAGAGTATAACTGCACAGACACTTAAGTGCAGGCATTCATGCAGAAGTAAAAAGTATATCGTGTAAGACACAAAACCAGATCAGGTATCATAATATAAGGTAGTTAGTTTAGATATTCCTGTGGCAAAGGAAAGCCATAACTGATCACAAAAGAATAGACACATATTCATAGAGAAAGTGAGACATACCTATGGACTTGTTTTGTATATGATTTTCCAAGTTTTCACCAGCATCTTGTGGAAGCATGACAGCAGGTATTCCAATATCAATATCAGTTTCATTCTCTTCACAAACCATCTTGAAAAGTTCTGCACAATAAGGACATAATATAGTTGCTTAAAACAAACACAATATAACCCCTTATTGCAAAATGCCTTTGTTTATTCTAACAACCAATAAGCAACAAAAGTTATTTAGCATTCTTTAAACTACAAACCACATAATCAGTTAATCACCTCTAACTGTAAAATCATTAATGGAGAAAAGGAAAATGGAATAGACTAGAGGTCTGGAAAAAGCTTTTTAAAAAAGCAAAAATTGCATGCAAACACCTGTACGATAATTTATAATGAGGATGGCTGAAGCACCAGCTTCTTCAGCTATATTTGCCTTGGTTGTGAAACTACATTGTCCTCGGTGCACCAAAATGATCTCGCCAGTGAGCTAACAAAATTTCAAGGCACTCCATATTACAAATTAATAAATATCTAAAAAAATTTAGAGCTTTTAATCTGGACATCTATGCTTCACATGCAGAGGAGAAGGTGCATTCAGTAAGTTCTATAGCATAAATCAGAATACCTTGTTCTTAGGCTTGCTGCAACAATCAGGAGGGTCTGCAATGGCAACTCTAGTATGGTTAGCATGTTTTTCTTTCGATTCCAATGTAGGGCCAAATCTTGCACCAACACCAACATATTCACAGTTTTCCACGCCATCAATCCAAGTTGGAACTTTAACCTATCAAAAGAGATATTGGTGAAAGCTGTTAAGGAAAAAACTCATTCATACTTGAGGCATATGACTAAAAAAATTATGGGGACAGATAAAGGGTAAAAAGTTTTGGAGAAGAAAAAAATATTAATTAATAATAATTCAGGTCTTTGAGTGGCATCCAGAAACAAGTTGAGATGAGTCAACCTCAAGTGCCAAAGATGAGAGGTTGCATGATTGTTTGGATAGGCAGAGGGGGAAAATGATGAAATCAAAGATATAATGACAAAAATAGCTACTAAACTTATCATACTTAAATCACAATCTCCCCATTGCAAATGTGAGAGAATACTATGAGTTCTTAACTACCTAGCTAGGATTTGCTTATCATGGAGTTAGTTTAGTCTGCTCCACAAACAGACTTGTAACTGTCTGTCAGAAGGTTGAAACTGTCTCTAACAAATTCTGTTAAGTGTTAGTTTTAGACTCTAGTTTAGATCCTAGTCTATAAATGTTGAATTCCATGTACAAGACAAATTAGCATACACAATCACACTTTCAGTTTCAATTTCTTTCTCAGTTCTCTTTCTGTTTCTCTCTGTTCCCACTGTCCCAGAACTCTCTTTGGTTTACCTCACTGCATCCATGTACAATTTCTACAGCAAATCCCAGAAATCACCAACTACACAACGATAATGAGGCAAAAAAGAATCACTGCACAATTTAACAGGTAGACACATCAGAACAATATCTACATAAAGGAATTCTATTAAAAGGGCAAATCCCAATAAACAAAGGCCCCCCCTGACTTTATGAGGGTGATGGTACACAACCTTATTCTTAACTTTTCATAAAGAGATTATTTTCTAGACTCAAACGTGTGAGGCTCACAAAGGGTCCGTATCACTGCTGGAAGCCTCACCCTCAAAGGAATTCTATTGAAAAAAGCTTAATTAAATCACTACAGTTTTATTGTTTTTCACCCCATTTTTCTTAGCAACATGGAAAGTTATGCTAGAGATTAATACATTGAAGAGAAAACATAATTGATACGACAAGCAATCTAAAACATAATTGAACATCTTATGTCCATGAACAGAAATAGAGCATTTTAATTAGCATACACCACAGTATCATTCATTGGGGAGGGAGGGAGGGGGGGCCAAAAAAATCTCATATTTCCAAAACACAAAGCAAATATTTGAATTTTAATCCTACCCAACTCTTCAACTTTCCTTAACCAAAAAAAAAAAATTTCCAAATCCTCTACTTGTTCCTACACTTTCCCAGCATCCAAACAAACCAAAAAAAAAAAAAAATCACAAAATAAAAAAGCAGCAATAATGGCATTTTAGAACCAGCTCAGCAAGCAATTCACAGTAGGAATCAAAGTTTTTTTTTTTTTCATTTTTTTTTGGGTACCAGAACAAAGTTGTTGTCACAGCCAGGCCTCTTGGGAGCAATATTATCAGGGTGTACTATGTCCCCAGCCAAACTCAAAGTGACAAGAAGCAACAACACATAGCATATAGCATATGAAGCTTCAAGTGAAACCATGCTGCTCAGAACTAAGAAATGAGATTGTAGCTGCAAATTTGAGGCGAGAAAACAAAAGGGGTTGTGGTATCTAAGGTAAAGATTTTTTCTTTGAAAAGAAAAAAAAAAAAAGAGAGAGAGGAAAGAAGGTACAAAAGAAGAAGAGGAATTGGGTTGGAGGGAGATAGCGGTAGAGAGAAAAAACAGAAGAGAGAGAAAGTGTCACAGAGGATTTTGCATTTTATTTATTGTTATTTTAATTTTGTGTCCCTTTGTGTCTGTCCAACGTACGATGAAACATGAGGAAAACACCGCGTGGTAACCGTTGAACTATAACTTCCTTTACTTTGCGTTCATGATTTGGTGGGTTGGCCACGAGCTTCTTGTGTACGTGATGTTCACGCCGCGTTGAAGGGTGACTATGAAGTAAGGGATAATAAAGATAAGGTCGATTTATGTATGGCATAGAATGAAAAAAAAAAAAAAAACTAATAATTGTATTTTAAAAATAAAATTACAGGATTTATGCATAATTAAAACATAGGATTATATTTCTCTCATTTCACATGAAAGAAGTCAAGTTTTTACACATAAAAAATAAATGTGAATTTCATCTTTATTTTGTCTCTCTTATTCTGCTTATGAGTCATATTTGTGATATTATCTCTGTTACATGAAATAATACTTCTCATGTAGCATGAAAAGATAATTTCCCTAAAACATATTATCCAATTAATGTAATTAGTTGTGCATATGATTCATGTGCAAGACAAAATCTCATAAGTTGTGTATATATCATATGTTATTTGCGCATTGAGTAGGTACGAAATAATATTGTAAACTCACTTTTTAATGTGTCCTTTCTTGGATTTTATTGGTGCTCAAAGCAAGGTCTTTAACATGTCCAAGACAATCTATCAAAACGGGACTCGTTGAGTTGTGTATTTTTTAACCCACCAACTTAACATAATCTTGCCTAAATATTGGGTGGGTTAAATAAGTTAAGGATGAGGTAATCTGTGGGGACAATTCGTATGTCACTTTTAAAAAAAAATAAAATATTAAATATTAGATTATTGCTTGATTGGTCTATGAGGGTGACTATTATATGAATAAAATCTTTTCTTTTAGGGCCATAATGTTATTATTTTATTCGGAATGTTATTTTTTGTTCATTTTGATTAAGCAGAAAAAAAAATTAACACACAAAATAAAATAAAAAAATAAGTTGTTTTTGGATTTAAATGCTAGTATCTATACAAATCGAACAAATTCTTATGCAATTTTAGTTACAGAATGCAATGATGTATTCATTTGTAACTATTCAGATGTTTGATGTCATTATTTTGCTATATAATAATACCACAATTAATAATTAATCTTAAGATATAATTTGTATAGTTATATTAAACGAAATTATTCTGTTAATTTTGACTTATTACTTGATACTAGTTTTAAACTTGAGAAATGTTTCGATCTTACGTATTAGAAATAAAATATTAGTATTAATATGTTTATTTTTTTAATATTTTAATTTTAAAACCCACCAACTCAACTCGTCTCAAAATGAAATGAATTGGTATTTTTAATTCATTCATCAATGACGGCTCAACCTACCCATCTATTTTTTGGTATGTTGAAGATGGATTGCTGCAGATTAACCCATTTTGCCACATGCTCAAATTGCACCCTAACCCCAAGTATTACTAACACTCTCGATCATTGTTTGGAAAAGAGAACCCCATTTACGTTATGATCTTGAATCAATTACAAACCTAGCTTGCTTCGTTCTCATGGAGACTAAAGAATGCAGCGCTGATGACAGAGAATAAGTTGAGGTTGCCAGAGAAAATGTATATTCTGAAGAAAAAGAAGGGAATGGATGAAAAAAATAAGGAGGGAGATGGTATCATGTGGCTAAAGATGATGTTGATAGGGCAGAAACGTGAACCGTTGAAATGTAGGTATTATTGAGATGGATTTAATGTTTCTCATATTATAGAAGATAAAATTATCTCTTATATACAACTTAAAATGTGTGGGACTCGTGTTGAGCTATTTGAAGAAAATAAAAGAAATATATGAATATCACATATTTTTATGTATATATAATAGATAATTTTATTTCTTATAATATAAGAAATGTTACACTGTGATGGGACAAGTGTGAGTCTTTGAATTTTTTTGGAAAAACTTTACCTCTTGCTTACTTTTTCCCATTTTCAAATTAGAGAATTGGGAGAGTATTTGCAACGTGTGTCTTAGAATTCTAGTAATAATATATTACATTATGTGTTTGCAAACTAGTTGGGCATAGTTACTTTTTTTTTTTTAGGGGAAAGTGTGTATCATTTTAAATGACATAAAATTGTGTCATTTTAAGTGAGAGAAAAAGACAAATCATGGAAGAGAGAATGGGTAAAAAAAGTTTTAAATGTGTGGATCTCACCTCTTTGTGAGAGTGAAAGGATATAAGATGTGTCATTTAAAATGACAAACTTTTTCCCCTTTTTTTTTATATATATCTAAACGCATGTACAAGTTACTTAACTAGTTGCGCTTAAACATTTTATATTTTTTAAGAAAATAATAATAAACTTATGTGAAAATATGAGTATTATTGTTTAACTTATTTAAAGTAGAGTAGACTTTAAAAGAGAAAATTACAAAATTATAACGGTTAATTATAAAATTAATGGATAAATCTTAACAACTTCATTATTTTTATTTTTGTAAGTGGACGGCTTAGCCCCAACAAAACAAGAAAATACTATTTTTTTTAATCAATTACAATTTCAGACTTTTTCTTGCGTTTATCAATTTTAAAAGAATAAAATCGTACTTTGGTGAAGATTAAATACTTGTAATTCCCCATAAAAAAATGCTTGTAATAAATTAATCATCTTAAGGATACTCTCACGCGCAAAAAAATTTAAATATTGTTTTTTTAATAAATAATTATGCAAATATAGTCATTTTGAAACTATTTACACAGGTATAGCAGTCAAACACGTTCACATGGGGCGTGACCCAGTGGAGAGAGACACGCCTGTGTGGGGTGTGAGTCGTGAGAGAGACACGCTCCACTTGTCCCTGATCCATGCCCAGATCTGGAGCAATATGTGGCAACCACCCATAGTACTAATCTGCGGGTTTGTGCACACGTATAACTTCCTAAGTAGATGGGCGAGAACCGCAGACCCCCAACTGTATCTGTCAATGTCCGCAAAGTCCCCTCCTAGCAGTGGAACGTAACTACAAGCAATTTTACTTCCACCTGATCTGTCACAGAGTAGTCATGACCCTAATAGCGCAAAATGTGTGCCCGGGAGTAACGCCTCACCTCCTCAAGATCATGCACAACTAGGCCCCAGTCAGCATATAATCTATCCATGTATGAAATACGTAGATCGCCACCAAATATGTCTCTGCCCACAACTGGGGCAATCCCAAAAACCTGCTGACACACTACGGTCCAATCCAACGCAGTTTGTTTGGTAACTGCCTGCCCGTCAGTAGGCAATCCAAGTATATCAGCCACGTCCTGTAATGTGATGGTCATCTCTCACTATGTCATGTGAAACGTATGTGTCTCTGGTCTCCACCGCTCAACCAAAGCACTGATAAGGGCGGTATCCATATTAAAGACAAACAACAATTGTCAATTCATATGTAAGCACTTCAATAATTTATACAAAGTCCTCTAACAGTAATTTAGTTCAGTACTTTATAAATTACATACCTGAATATGACTCATACGTGCCACGTGTATGAAATCAGCATGTGTCAGATAGTCAGCCACGACGTCTGAAATATCATCATAACAGGGTCCACCCTGTAATTTCTCGCGTCGAGTCTTTAACCCCCTAACCTTATCCTCGTTCCACACAAGCTGTGAAACGTGGGTGCCCTGTGTCCTCTTACGAAGTACCTCCCACCTATATGGTCCAGGAAGTACATGCGTATAAGGATCGGAAGGCTTTGCATCACCATCGGATGCAGAGCGCGGCAACTCAGACGAAGACAAATGAGCCATAACAGAATACTATTACAGATGAACAAATTAAACAGAAATAAGTATATTACATTATATTAAATTACATTAAATGAAAATGAATTAAGTGATATTGATTTCAATTAAATTAACGTCAATAAAACTAAATTAAATAACATTACATTATTCTAAATTACATTACATTGTATTTAAATACGTTAAATAAAATTAATATTGCCTACTCTAATATTTTTATACAAACTTTAATTACAATATATTAATTATTTGAAAGGTCAATATGTTCATATATGTCATTCCTATATAATTTTGTTGTGTCTCTAACTAATTTATAAGTCTCTGACAAATTCCTATTACCAGTATATATCAATTTATAAGTCACTAACTAATTTCTAAGTCCCTACCTAATTCCTAAGTCACTAACCATTCTCTAACCCAGGTCACTAATAATTTTCCAAGGTACTAAAAATTAAACTTTAATTACAATATATTAGTTATTTGAAAGGTCAATATGTTCATATATGTCATTCCTATATAATTCTGTTGTGTCTCTAACTAATTTATAAGTCTCTGACTAATTCCTATTACCAGTATATATCAATTTATAAGTCACTAACTAATTTATAAGTCCCTACCTAATTCCTAAGTCACTAATAATTTTCCAAGGTACTAAAAATTATCTAAGTCACTAACTATCATATATTTATTGTTATAAATAAAAAATAGAAAACATAAATTGGGACTTACATGAGAGACAAAGTTTCGCTGTGCAAAATGCTGCAGAAAAAATGTAGAGAGAAGTTGGAAGTGATTTTAGAGAAAAGATATGAGGGGTAAAATGAAAAAAAAAAAAAAAACAGCCTTTAAATAGACCAGGTGGAACACACCCTTGTTGGGCGTGTCTCTCTCCCGGTCACACCCCATGTAGGCGTCTCTCTCATGACTCACTCCTCACATGAGCGTGTCTCTCTCCACCGGATCACGTCCCATATGGATGTGTTTGACTGCTACACCTGCGTAAATAGTTTCAAAACGACTACATTTGCGTAATTATTTATTAGTAAAGTAATATTTAATTTTTTTTGCCTACTGTCACATCTAAAATCGTCTTGAATTTATCAAATGCTAGACAATCTCAAAAATTAGGAAGATTTAATAAATTAATCAAATGCTTCTTAAGGATACTAATAAAGTGATAAGTAGATTACCAAAAAAAAAAAAAAGTGATAAGTAAGACCCAACTTTTTTATAATATTATTTAGTCATGAAATGTCAAATTATAAAACAGCTTAGCATCTAACTAAAATAAATAATAGTAAGCATATTAACGCATAAACTTATAATACGAAGAGTAAATACATTTTTTTGTCCCTAACAAAAAATACAGTCTCCACTTTAGTCTCTTACAAAAATATATTAGTCATTTAGTCTCTAACAAATTCAAAGTTGACCTATTTTAGTTCTTTTGAGGGACTAATGAGGGTCTTTTTTGAATTTGTGAGAGATCACGATTTCAACTAAATGGGTCCACTTTGAATTTGTTAGGGACTAACTGACTCATTTATTATTGTAAGGGACTAAAGTGAGGACCGTATTTTTTGTTAGGGACCAAAAATGATATTTAGATATGTGAAGGTTAAAGTATGAATATTTTTACCACACAAAAAAAGTGTGAATGTAAAAGTGTGTGCAAGTATTTATGATTTCTATTTTTTTTAAATATAGATTAAGAGGTCACATACGTAGCTCACATGTTTTGTGTAATTATTATTGGGATTAATATTTTTATATTATAGGAGATAATTTTATCTCTTACATATATAAAAATATATGCGGCTCATTTTTATTTTATTTTTCTCTTCTCTTCATATGTATCTTATATATTTTTATATGTGTATAAAAAATAATTTTATCTTCTGTAATATGAAAAATATTAATAGTAGTATTATTATTATTAATTATTTTTGAAAAAAAAAAAAACAAGTTTTGGTAGGGCGGTTCCTTCACACCACTTGTGTTGAGAATAGTGTGTTGCGCGTGGGGGAACGTTTGATGTTGAGTACACACGTTACCGGCTACCTTCGGAGACAGTATTTGCTTCCGTATGACCGTACAGATAAGACTAAACTGCAGTACGACCGATTCAAGAAAATTCAGACTTCAATCAGCTGCATTCGGTCATATCTTTACCCCCTCATCACCTGTCATTAATTTAATAGATAAATAAATAACCCACATGTGTGATAATTAATGGTATTTCAAAAAAATAGATAATTAATGGTCTTCACAATTAACCCTTTGAATAGATAATTAATGGTCTTCACAATTAACCCACATCACCTAGTCTTTTATCATAACCCAATCAAATATATATATATATATATATATATATATATATATATATATATGGTTTATCAATTTTTAAGTTGTTTGAGATAAATTTATTTTAAAGACGAATCAATGGTGATAAAAGAAGAGAGAAAAAAAAAGTGAATCATAACTATTAAAATGTAAATCAATTAACATAAGAAAATAAATAAATAAAATGATGTAGTTTGTAGATGGACGAAGATAAATACATCTCAAGCTGCTTGAGTTTTTCTTATATATATATAGGGTTATATTTATAAATTATTATTTACAAACTCTTACAAATTATATTATTTATTATGAGAGTATATATTACTTGAGCATATACTACATGTAATATATAATATAGTTTATAAAAATTTGTAAATAAAAAATTTATAGATATAACTTATCCTTATATATATATAAATGAATAATTTTTTACTCTGGTATAATAATAAAAAATTAATGTATATATATACAAAGAGTCAGGATCATTTTACAACAGTGTAAGTTACACTCTCAATCTTGTCCGTTGATCCCACTTATATCTAAGGGTTCAAATTTTTTAATAATATGAGCCATTGGATACAAGTGGATCAATAATCAAGATTAAGTGTAAGACTTCAAACTCTTACACTGATGTAATAATATACTACCCCATATATAATTACTCTTATAGTAGTATAATAACCAATGATATTATGACACGCGCATAGAAGATGTAGACGTGAGTTCAGGGTGAAGTGTTTAGGTTCCCTTAAGTAGGGCCCTCGGATGGGAACAGGTTAATGACAAAGCATATCCACACATGACACACGTACCACTATTCATTGATGGTTGGGATCACACGTGTGCAGATTCCACATGTGGGGCCCCTACTTCAATTTGGCCCAATTGCTCACCAGTCATGATGACTCACGAGAGATAGACACCAGCCCATTAGTGCGACAGTTTCTGTGCTTTTTTTTATTCACTTTTTTAAATATGGGATTAGTGTTTTTGTTTTTTGGTACGATAGTATTTATTTTTTAAAAGGACCTATAATTTGTTATTTTAATCAAAATTATAATATTTTATTATGAGAGAAACAAAAATTATTGTAGAAAAAAAGTAAGAATTTTTTAATTTAAATATTAAATAAAAATATTAATTTTAATTAAAATATTTATCCTTTAAAAGGATAAATACTTTTTCTTTAAATATTGTTTGTTTGACACACTTTTGTCTATATATATAACGGGGCACAATTACTTTTTCACTTGCATCTAATTCATAAATTAGAATTAAAATTTGATATAAGATTTGTTTTTCTTATATATAAGTTGTTTCTTTCTTATAATATAATTTTTATATTTGTATAATTTTTATTATTTAAATATAATAAATCTCATCTCTTTTATTATATATCTAGGTATATTATTTGTTTGGCTATTCGACGTTCAACAATAAATCTTATACCATTGATTGGTTATGATTCTCCGCATTTAATGTTTTCACCTATCTTTGTATGGTTATTATTACCTGAATTTATTTGCTGGACGTCGAGCGGTTGGAAAAATGTAAAGCCTATATATTTATAATTTAATTTTTTTAACAAGAAAAATATTAACAATATGTATTTTTGTTTTAAAAAAATTGTTTATTTTTTTTTTAATCTCATGTTGGTTTTATTAAAATAACTTGGTTCATGTATAAAAAAAAAAACCTGGGTCCACTTTATTATAGTGAGTTAGTATAATATTTCATTTGATAATAAAAAATCTCAAAAAACAATATTAAAAATGTCTATAATATCCTTCTTTTATACAAATATAAAATAATGTATACTTTTAAGTGATGTATACGCATGGCTGGTAGTAGTACTATAGATATGAATTTATAATAAACTTTATAGGTGATAATATATCAGATATTAAATTTAGAGTAAATACTCTTTTGGATACTTAACAAAAAAAATACAGAACTCATTTTAATCACTTATGAAAAAAGTATCTATATTAGTCATTTTTTATGGACTAGTGTGGGTCTTCTTTGAATTTTTTCTAAACCACAATTTCAAAGAACTGAAATTTCATAGGGACCACAAGTCAATTTTTTTCCTAAGGAATTAATATGAGTTCCGTGTTTTTTTGTTGAGGACCCAAAATGGTATTTATATATATATATATCAAGGACGTCCAAAATGGAATTAACATGAGTTATTGCATATAAGTTATCTGCATTGAGTCCAAAATGACGTCGTTTTGCGGCAGAAATCAAGATATTTTTGTAATTTTAATTTATTTCAGGGTTATAATAGTCTTTATAATTATAATTTTTTAATATTTCAACATCAAAATGATATCGTTTTGAGAGTAAATGCAGATAACTTATATGCAGAAATTTTTCTGATATATAAATATAGGATTTTATTAGTCTCATTTAATATAAGATAGTTATCTTATGTTGTAGAGAGAAAATAGATGGGTTCTACCATTACAAGAAAAAAAGAAAAAGGTGCGATATAGAAATGGAAGTGAGAGAAAATAAGAGATGATATCTCATGTGAAAGGTGAGTGATATTTCCCATATATATATACAAGGTTCGTTTTTCCTGCAGTTACTACAGATAACTTATCTGCAGTAAGCCCAATACGACGTCGTTTTGGGACAGAAATCATGATATTTTTGTA